GAACAGGTATTAACCAGGGACCTCTGGCAGTCCCTATTGACGTGGAAAGTTAATTTGTTCTCTACTTTTTTGTCGTGCCTTGTTTACTACTGCGTTGCAAGTGTTGGTATTGTGGTGATCTAGTGGGTTACTTTATGCTTTTACATGTGTTCAAGACTTCCTATAAGCACCCTTAAGTTAGGAAAATGATTAGTGAAGCAGTGTTGTTGAAACAGTTACTAAACCAGAGAGGAGGTACACAGCAAACATTGTTTCTGACACTGGTATCTGGAAGAGAGCTGTTAGTCTTCCTTAGAGTTGTTGAAAGGTGGACTTGGGTTATTTCATACTTTTTTGAAAAGTCTGAAATGGAAGACGAGGCGGGCTGGGGGTGGCCACGGAAAGGTCGGACCCTGCTTTCCGCCTCCTAGGTGTCCGGGAGCCCCAGTCCTAGTCTGTGAAAAGTCCATTTGACATTTTAGAATTTGCTTACGTTGCATACCAGCAGTAGTCATTAATGGTATTTTTAGTGGCGAACAAGAGTGTACCTAAAAGTAAAGGGAAATTTAAGGTTTCGTTTTTTTACGAGAGAGTGTCTGTCTCTTGCACTCCAAGCTGGAGTGCAGTGGCATGATCTCTGCTCACTGGAGCTTCCTTCTCCCAGGCTAAAGGGATCCTCCTGCCTTAGCCAGCCTCCCCAGCCTCCAGAGGCGCGGGAGGGATCCCGCCTAATTTTTGAACTGTCGTCGACATGGGGTGGGGTTTTGCTATGTTGCCCCTGCTGGTCTTGGAACTCCTTGAACTCAAGCGATCCACTTGCTGACCTCCCAAAATGCTGGGATTACAGGCGTAAGCCACCATGCCCAACTAAAGTTTTTATAATTTCAACGTTTATTTTCGATCCAGGAGGTACCTGTGCAGGTTTGTTACATGGGTATATTTCATGATGCTGAGGTTTGGAGTATGAATGATCCCATCGCAGGTAGTGAGCACAATACCCAATAGGTAACTCTTCAGCCCTTGCTCCCCTGTTTCCCATCTAGTAGTGCCTAGTGTCTGTCGTTCCCCACTTTATTCATGTTGTACCCAGTGTTTAGCTCTCAAATTCACTTGTGGTATTTGGTTTTCTGCTTCTGCATAAATTCGCCCACGATAATGGCCCCCAGCTACATGTGTTGCTACAAAGAATATGATTTTGTTCTTTTCTGTGGCTGTGGTCAAACTTAAAAAAAAAATAGATATGTGATATGAGGTGCATAAATTTTATCTGGGAATTATATTTACTTTTGTGTTCTTGTCTTTGTAGGTTTTAAAATCAAAGATGGGAAAATCGGAGAAAATTGCCCTTCCCCACGGCCAGCTTGTTCATGGTATACACTTGTATGAACAACCAAAGATAAACAGACAGAAAAGCAAATATAATTTGCCACTAACCAAGATCACCTCTGCAAAAAGAAATGAAAACAGCTTTTGGCAGGATTCTGTTTCATCTGACAGAATTCAGAAGCAGGAAAAAAAGCCTTTTAAAAATACCGAGAACATTAAAAACACGCATTTGAAGAAATCAGCATTTCTAACTGAAGTTAGCCAAAAGGAAAATTATGCTGGGGCAAAGTTTAGTGATCCACCTTCTCCTAGTGTTCTTCCAAAGCCTCCTAGTCACTGGATGGGAAGCACTGATGAAAATTCCAACCAAAACAGGGAGCTGATGGCAGTACACTTAAAAACGCTCCTGAAAGTTCAATCTTAGATTTCAGATTTCAGTATGTGTGTAAAACATAAGTTTTCCCATATCCCTGGACTCTTGAGAAAATTGGTACAGAAATGGAAATTTGCCTTGTTGCAGCATACAAGTGCAAAAGATGAGTTTGAAAAATCACAAACAGCTTGTATTATATTTTATATTTTGTAAATACTGTATACCATGTATTATGTGTATATTGTTCATATTTGAGAGGTATATTATAGTTTTGTTATGAAAGTATGTATTTTGCCCTGCCCACATTGCAGGTGTTTTGTACATATACAATGGAGAAATTTTAAGTGTGTGCTAAGGCACAGGGAAGACTGATTTATTTGCACAAGGTACTGATATTTTTTTCCAAGAAACAGCTGTCAAATCTCAAGGTGAAGACCTAAATGTGAACAGTTTACTAATGCACTACTGAAGTTTAAATCTGTGGCACAATCAATGTAAGCATGGGGTTTGTTGCTCTAAATTGATTTCTAATCTGAAATTACTGGAAAACTCCTATTCCCATTTTTGCCAAACTCATTTTCTGGTTTTTGGTATATATCCATTCCAGCTTAATGCCTCTAATTTTAATGCCAACAAAATTGGTTGTAATCAAATTTTAAAATAATAATAATTTGGCCCCCCCTTTTAAAATAGTCTTGACTCTTTGTGTGTGACTGTTTCTCTTGTTTGAATGTGTGAGTAGGATATGATTTTGTGTGGGTGGATTTTAACTTACATATTACTGGCTGAATGTGAGGCGCCATACTGTACATTTTCGTAGCAGAGCAGCCTTGAGGTTTTTGGGTATAGTACTTGACTACTAGGGCAGGAGGGTCTCCTGAGCCTGAGAGGTGGAGGTTGCAGTGAGTCAGGATCAGGCCTTTGGACTCCAGCCTGGGTAACAGACCCTGTCTGAAAATAAAGGCCAAGAGGAAGTAAGGGAGACAGATTTTGAGTGGGAATGTTAAACAATCAGGTCAAGTAAAGAAGATTGAAGATACAAAGGAATTCTGTTTGATGTTTGAGTCACCATTCCTTCCTTACAAATGCAGATATACACCTTTCTCAGAAATGGATGAGGCTCATTTAGAAGTTTGAAGATGCCCCCAATTTTTAGTAACCAATTTTTAGCTTTTTTTAGTAATGTGTTGTAAATATTAATACTAATGACTGACTTCAGTGAGTTCTGACATTTCAACCAAATCAGTCTGTGATTCTAGAAAGGGACACATACACCGGTTTTAACAACACATTGTTGCATATAGTTGTAAAAATTGCTACACAATGTAAGAGTCCCACTGCCTTAACCCTTTCCTTGTCCAACATTTCTCAGCTCTTGTAATTTTGAGCAGTATGTCTGCAATTCCATGTGTGGGGCTTAAGTGTGGACAAATGACAGAGCTGAAAGTTTAGGTGGGATGGGGAGAAAACACAAGTACAACTAAAATACAAACTGTTTCCCCACTCCACAACAAATCCCTGAAGAGAGACAGTTTCTTAGGGAGAAGGCATTAACTTTGGTGAGAAGGAATTTCTCTTTAGGAACCTTAACACCTCAGAAAGTAACATTGAGTTGAACCTTAAAAGATCAGTATTTGGCCGGGCGCGGTGGCTCACGCTTGTAATCCCAGCACTTTGGGAGGCCGAGGCGGGTGGATCACGAGGTCAAGAGATCAAGACCATCCTGGTCAACATGGTGAAACCCCGTCTCTACTAAAAATACAAAACATTAGCTGGGCATGGTGGCGTGCGCCTGTAATCCCAGCTACTCAGGAAGCTGAGGCAGGAGAATTGCCTGAACCCAGGAGGCAGAGGTTGCGGTGAGCCGAGATCGTGCCATTGCACTCCAGCCTGGGTAACGAGCGAAACTCCGTCCCAAAAAAAAAAAAAAAAATCAGTATTTGATTAAAAAAAAAAAAAAAAGGAAAATAATTGTGAGAGGTAAAAAATCGGAGCAGATGGTGGTGTGAAAAGATGTATGATGCTGTAATACCAGCACTTTGAGGGGCTGAGGCAGGCAGATCACATGAGGTCAGGAGTTCAAGACCAGCCTGGCCAACATGGTGAAACGCCGTCTCTAAAAATACAAAAAATTAGCCGGGTGTGCCTGTAATCTCAGCTACTTGGGAGGCTGAGGCAGGAGAATTTCTTGAACCCAGGAGGTGGAGGTTGCAGTGAGCTGAGATCAGGCCACTACATTTCAGCCTGGGCAAGTAAAACTCTGTCTCAAAAAAAAAAAAGGATGTACAATGTCCAGTAGCTTAAGATAAGTGCAAGGAAGGGAGGGAAGTTTTTTTAAAGGTGTATTGGGGTAAGAACACGAAGGGCCTTTAGTGTCATGCAGAAGAGCTTCAACTTTATTCTGTAAGCATGGCAGTCCTCAAAGGTTTGAGTAAGAGAATGGAATTCTTGCTTCAAATAAAATGTAGAAATACGGAGGACAGCTTGGTAAGGGAAAGCTTGAAACAAAGACTATGTAGGTGAGGATACATTAGTAGCTTAAGAGAAAAGGGCCTAAAGAACATTATCAGAGGCGTGGTCTTATTTGGGGGAATGTTGTAGAATTAAGGATTGAGCATCTGAATAGAGGGTAAGGAAAAAATTAAAAATTGAGCAACTCAAAGGATAAAACTACAGGGAGTTGCAGGGGAGTCAGAATTATAAAGGGAGGTCATTTTGATTTGGCATGTGGAACTTTGGGAGTGCCTCTAGGACATCCATGTGGAAAGGCACAGCAAGTAGATAGAAAATAGGTCAGATCGAGGTATGGCTTTGGTAAATAGTGTACAAAGCAGTAATTACAACAGGGAAATGGAAGTGGAATATTTTGTCTTTTATTTATTTTTATTTTTTATTTTTTTTGAAGATGGGGTTTCACCATGTTGGTCAGGCTGGTCTTGAACTCCCAACCTCAGGTGATCCGCCCGCCTTGGCCTCCAAAGTGCTTGGATTACAGGCGTGAGCCACCACGCCCAGCCATATTTTGTCTTTCTATGTCCTCTCCATTTTCTCCCATAAGATTTAATGCTTTTAGGCCAGGCACAGTGGCTCACACCTATGATTCTAGCACTTTGGGAGATAGAGGGGTGCAGATCGCTTGAGCCCAGGAGTTCGAGACTAGCCTGCGTGGCATAAGGAAACCTTGTCTCTACTAAAAATGTGTATAAAAATTAGCCAGGTGTGGCATATGCCTGTGTTCCAAGCTGCTTGGGAGGCAGAGGCAGGAGGACCCCTTCAGTCGGGGAGGCAGCGGTTGCAGTGAGCAGAGACCTCACCACTGCAGTCCAGCCTGGGCGACAAAGCTAGACTCCCCGTATCAAAAAAAAAAAAAAAAGAAAAAATTAATGCTTTATTGGTAGCCTTGACCTCATCCTCTCAGCCTCCTATGGACTGTCAACTTGACTGTGATAGTAAATTAGTTGCTGAATTAGAATTTTCTCGTGAAACTTATACAGAGGTTGTTTTTCCTACCTGTAAAAGTGTGTGTTAACAGACAGTTAAAATCTAAATTCTGAATTCTGATAGCAGGGGCCCAGTTGGTGAAAAGGGGGAATAAAGTTTCCTTCCTTTTCTGTGATATGAAATCAGGTGAAACTGATCTTTCGTAGCTCATCATCTCTCCTTGCACCTCTCTCATCTCCTAATAACCCTCCTCATCTTATTGCAGGATAAACTATCCTTTGTTTTCATGGTAGAAGAAAATTTATATACCATTGATATCTCCTTCAGTTGAAGGAATCAAGGATATTTATGTATCTTTGGGTATGAAAGGCTATTTTTGTTTTTGTTTTATTTTATTTATTTATTTGAGACAGAGCCTCGCTCTGTTGCCCAGGCTGGAGTGCAGTGGAATAATCTCGGCTCACTGCAACCTCCGCCTCCGGGTTGCCTCTGCATTTCAGCCTGGGCAACAAGAGTGAAACTACATCTCAAAAAAAAAAAAAAGGATGTACAATGTCCAGTAGCTTAAGATAAGTGAATTCTCCTGCCTCAACCTCCTTACTAGGACTTCAGGCGCGTCCCACCATGCCCAGCTTATTTTCTGTGTTTTTAGTAGATGGTCTCGATCTCCTGACCTCGTGATCCACCTGCCTTCGGGCTCCCAGAGTGTTGGCATTACAGGCATGAGCCACCACGCTCAGCCTATGTTTAAATTTTTGAGGAACACTGGTAAACTAAATACATTTTAACATCACAGAATTGCCTTGCTGACCATCTGATCCCTGGCTAACTCCTCCAGGTTATTTTCTCATTGCTGGACTTCTTTCCTTCTGAATCTAGAAATACCCTAGAAACTGTTCCAAATGGAAAAGAAAGTATGCTTGTATTGTGAGATGAGATGGTGGAGGAGGCAGAATTGTGTAAACACAAATTATGTGTAACTCAGGAACTACTTGTTTTGTTAACTTGAATTATAAAAATGTCAAATTCAATAACAATTTAAGATTTATAAAAGGTGTTGAGGCCGGGCACGGTGGCTCACGCCTGTAATCCAAGCACTTTGGAGGCCAAGGTGGGCGGATCACCTGTGGTCGGGAGTTCAAGACCAGCCTGACCAACATGGTGAAACCCCATCTTTAAAAAAAAAGAAAAGGTGTTGAATTTACTGAAGGTCCACTGTTAAGATTTTAGAATTCATTTTCTAAAGCAGGGTTTATAATAATGTGGGCTTAGTGTAGAACTGGCTACATAAATTTTAAATTCCCTCGTTAAAGGAATAGATTATGTGGCATCAGTAAACATAGTTTCTGAATTTAGTAATGGTAAAAAGGGACAAAGTGGGACGATTGGTAGAAGCAACCTACATACTTTATGAAAATCAGATGCACATTTATCAAAGGAGGCCACATGTTCTATTCAGGCTCCATTTAATTAGAATTAGATCATCTTGAACATTAACAATACTTTAAGGCACGGGGGGAGGTGGAGAAGGATCGGGGAAAAAAAACAATAAAAGACAAAGTGACATTAAACGATAAAAATACCTAATTTCTCTGGTCATTCACACAATATTTTTATGAATGAAGAAAAGATTCAGGAAAGTTAAGTAATTTTTCATAGTTTAATACAGATTAGCACTCACAAGACTGTGGTATTTTATGTCTGGTTGTAAAAATACTAGACAATCACACTCCTCCAAAGCTGCTTATATATACATGGCTGTTTCTACTAAATTACTACAGATAGTTCTCTTATTCCAAGATTAGAGTTTGTTTTTTTTCTTTTCTCTTTTTTTTTAATAAAGGTGGTGTTTCACCATGATGGCCAGGCTGGCCTTGAGCTCCTGACCTCAGGTGATCCACCCACCTCGGCCTCCCAAAGTGCTAGGATTATAGGCGTGAGCCACAGCGCCCAGCCTTTTTTTATATTTTTAACTGCAATAGAGAAAGGTAGAGTTTGTTAATCTGACTTTGTCAAATCAAATTCACAAATGTGTTCTTGGCATCTTGGCAGTTTAGGATCTTGGGCAAGAGATGGCAAGTAGAAATGTTTTCTTTTCTCTTTCTCTCTTTTTCTTTCTCTCTCTCTCTCTCTTTCTTTTTTTTCTTCTTTCTCTTTCTTTCTTTTTTGAGATGGAGTTTCGCTCTTGTTACCCAGGCTGGAGTGCAATGGCACGACCTCGGCTCACCGCAACCTCTGCCTCCTGGGTTCAGGCAATTCTCCTGCCTCAGCCTCCTGAGTAGCTGGGATTACAGGCACGCGCCGCCATGCCCAGTTAATTTTTTGTATTTTTAGTAGAGACGGGGTTTCGCCATGTTGATCAGGATGGTCTCGATCTCTTGACCTCGTGATCCACCCGCCTCGGCCTCCCAAAGTGCTGGGATTACAGGCGTGAGCCACTGCGCCCGGCTATTTTCTTTTTTTGAAAACAGTCTCGCTCTGTCACCCAGGCTGGAGTGCAGTAGTGCAATCTTGGCTCGCTGCAACCTCCTGGGTTTAACCAATTCTGCCTCAGCTTCCCAAGTAGCTGAGACTACAGGTGCATGCCATTCTGCTTGGCTAACTTTTACAGTTTTAGTAAAAACAGGTTTTTGTCATGTTGGCCTGGCTGGTCTCAAACTCCTGGCCTCAAGTGATCTGCCTGCCTCAGCCTCCCAAAGTTCTGGGATTACAGGCATAAGCCACCCCACTGGGCTTTTTTCTTTTTGAGACAGGGTTTTGCTGTCACGCAGGTTGGAGTGCAATGAGTGGCAGGATCACAGTTTATTACAACTTCTGCCTCCTGGTCTCAAGTGATCTCCCGCCTCAGCCTCCTGAGTAGCTGGGACTACAGGCATGTGGACATGGGGTTTCACTGTGTTGCTCAGGCTGGTCTCAAACTCCCAAACTCAAGCAATCCACCAGCCTTGGCCTCCCAAAGTGTTGGTATTACAGGAGTGAGACACCACACCTGGCCAAAAACATTCTCCCTTTTTATGTTTTCAAGGTTTTTAAGTGATTTCTCCCTTTTGGTAGACATTTTGATGATTTTTGGTTATTTCCTATTGCAAATGTTTGATTTTAATTGAACTCAAAACTGCTTACTAACAGTAAGATCTTTAAACAGGAAGATCTTTATTATTTCACTTTACTTGACGATATGGAATCAGAGGGCTTTCTGGTCCCATCAAAACTTTGGATAAGTTACAATTTGTAGGGATATTCTAACTATAAAGCAAGGCTTTCAATGATTCCTTCCAAAGTTGAACAAAATTAGCCTTATTCTTTTTTTTTTTTTTTTTTTTTTTTTTTGAGACGGAGTTTCACTCCTGTTACCCAGGCTAGAGTGCAATGGCACGATCTCGGCTCACCGCAACCTCCGCCCCCTGGGTTCAGGCAATTCTCCTGCCTCAGCCTCCTGAGTAGCCGGGATTACAGGCATGCACCACCATGCCCAGCTAATTTTTTTTTGTATTTTTAGTAGAGACGGGGTTTCACCATGTTGACCAGGATGGTCTCGATCTCTTGACCTCGTGATCCACCCGCCTCGGCCTCCCAAAGTGCTGGGATTACAGGCTTGAGCCACCGCGCCCGGCCTAGCCTTATTCTTTAAATGATTAGGCATTTACCACTCTCAAATTTTTTTTTTTTAATTTTTAATTTTTTTTTTTTTTTTTTTTTTTTTTTTGAGATAAAGTCTGTCATCAGGCACCAGGCTGGAGTACAGTGGTGTGATCTTGGCTCATTTCAACCTCCGCCTCCTGAGTTCAAGCAATTCTTCTGCCTCAACCTCCCGAAGTAGCTGGGACTACAGGTGCGCACCACCACACCCAGCTAATTTTTTTTGTATTTTAGTAGAGACGGGGTTTCACCATGTTGGCCAGGATGGTCTCGATCTCTTGACCTTGTGATCTGCCTGCCTTGGCCTCCCAAAGTGCTGGGATTATAGGTGTGAGCCACTGTGCCTGGCAAAAATTTTAATTTTTTTTACCCTAAGTCATAAGTACTTATGCTCTCAAATTTTAGAAAGGTTAATATCAAAGACTGGAAATGTCCCTTTTCCACCAGACTTTTAAGGCTCTTAGAGTCACTGTGCATTCAGTCCAGTCTCCTTAACTATCCTTGTCTATTTCTTAAGTTCTTATAATCATGTGATGACTAAGACCAGATCCCGAATTTCAAGAATAAGAAAACAGAATTGTTTATGAAAGCCATTCAACCAAGGTTTTCTGGCTGTACTTTGGCTAATTAGAATACCCCATCTATGAACGTTCCAGTTTTTTTTTTTTTTTAAAAACTTTGTTAAGTTCAAAGTAGTTGGGGGATAGATGAAAATATATTCGGCAAAGCAGGTGTAATTTACTGCTTACTGTAGAATCTAGGTAGTGGGTATATGGATGTTCCACTTTAAGCTACATTTAACATTCTTTTCATAGTAATGATTTTTATAATAAAGTGTTAAAGAAAATAGAGTTGGGAAAAATCAAGGCTATTTTACTGGTTCACTCCAACATTATATATAATTTGAATATTTGCTAATTTTTTTTGCTAATAATTCTAAAAGCTCACTTATATGTAGCATACAGCACAAATAAGTTGATCTTATGAGGTTGTAAACTTTGAATCTCCTGAATGTTTTCCTCTGCATTTTCAAGTAGGTTCGTTAGTTGGTTATAACATCTAAAAAATTAGAACTCTAGTTAATGACAGAAATACCAAAGCCATTGTAAACAAGAGCTGAAAGATGAGAGAAATGATAATGTAATTAAGCACTGGCTTATTTGGGAAACGTGACAGATAACATTTAGTGTTAATGTTGACATAAATATTAATTTTTTTTTTTTTTTTTTTAAAGACAGGGTTTCACCATGTTGGTCAGGCTGGTCTTGAACTCCCGACCTCAGGAGATCCGCCCGCCTTGGCCTCCAAAGTGCTTGGATTACAGGCGTGAGCCACAGTGCCCGGCATATTAATTCTTGAGAATAATTAGAGAAGGGCGAAGACGTAAGTGGAGATTATAAAAATTCTGAAAAAGGCTTGGTTCGGTGGCTTATGCCTATAATCCCAGAACTTTGGGAGGCAAAGGCAAGAGGATCACTTGAGGCCAGGCATTGAAGACCACCTGGGCAACATTAGTGAGACTCTCCATCTCTACAAAACAAAGATTCTGGAAGGGATTTATAATGGTCCCTGGTTTGGGAAGAGAGTTAAAGAAATGAAAGTGGAATAACTGCAAGCAGTGAAAGGAAATGTGTTTATGACACATCGCCAGGCACAGTGGTGTGTGCTGGTCCCAATTACTTGGGAAGCTGAGGCGGAGGATGGCTTGAGTCCAGGAGTTTGGGGCTGTACTGTGCTATGCCAGTTAGGGGTCCACACTAAGTTTGACATCAATATGATGACCTTCCTGGAAGTGGGGGCACCAGGTTTAGTAATGAGGGGTAAACTGGCCCGGGTTAGAAACAGAGCAGGTCAAAACTCCTGTGCTGATCAGTAGTGGGATCATGCCTGCGAATAGCCACTGCACTCCCATCTGGGCAACACAGCAAGACCCTGTCTTATAAAAAAATAATAAAATAAAAAAGAGATGCATGTCCTCAGGAAAGAAAGGGGCTGATTGAGGGCTACTTAAGGCTGAAGTGACTAGGGAGTAAAGGGTAAGGCAGTGTGCAACTCTTAACCTTTCACTGGTTCCTGCCTTTTAAAGCCTTTAATGCTGAATTAACACCAGTGGAGTAAATGAGATGCTAAAAGCATTGTTTGAAATTATCCCTTAAGTGATGTAGTTCCACTTTCTATGACAGACACTGAAACTACAATCTTTTGGTCAAAATAAAGGGTGAGGCCGGGCGTGGTGGCTCACGCCTGTAATCCCAGCACTTTGGGAGGCCGAGGTGGGTGGATCTCCTAAGGTCTGGAGTTCGAGACCAGCCTGACCAACATGGCGAAACCCTGTCTCAAAAAAAAAAAAAAAAAAAAAAAAAAAGGTGTGGATGAGGTGTGATCACAAAAACCTCAAATGAGTTATCAGTTATATTTGACCACTGACAGGTAGCTTAGAGCTTTATATAAAGGACTATTTGAACTATAAAATTTTCATCCATGTTTTTAAGTGGCATTTAAAAAAAAATCCCATTTAATAGGATATATAGTATGAGTAAGAAATTATAAAGTGTAAAACAATATAAAAATTGCTATTTATAGAATGTAAAGAATTTATATAGTCATGCACTGCATAACAACATTGAGGTCAACAATGGACCACATATATGATGGTGGTCCCAAAATATGCTAATGGTGAACATACAGAAATCTGATATATGGCACTTAATGTGGCACTGCAGATCAAGTCATGGAAATATCACCATTACTGCTATTCAGTAATGGTGCTGGGACATTTGGATTTCTGTATGAAAAAATATATGTAAATAAAAATATGCATACCATCTAGATTTGTGTAAGTACACCTTATGTTTGCACAACAGAATCACCTAATGATGTGTTTCTCAGAATGTATCCTGTCATTAAGTGATGTGTGACTATATCCATTAAAAACTGTAATGAATATCCTAACTAGAATATTAGAATTTTAAATTCAGCTACATTTAACATTTTAAGGCCAAAATTTTAAGGTTTACTGACAGCAATGAATGTTTAAAGATGCTTTTTCCTAATAGTCTTTTTGTTTGTTTGTTTTTTCCTAATAGTCTTATGAAATTATATAAATACTGGCCGGGCATGGTGGCTTACGATTGTAATCCCAGCACTTTGGGAGGCTGATGCGGGCAGATCACAAGGTCAAGAGATCAAGAGCATCCTGGCCAACATTATGAAACCCATCTCTACTAAAAATACAAAAATTAGCTGGGTGTGGTAGTGCGTGCCTGTAGTCCCAGCTATTCAGGAGGCTGAGGCAGGAGAATCGCTTGAACCTGACAGGCAGAGGTTGCATTGACCCAAGATCATGCCACTGCACTCCAGCCTGGCGACAGAGTGAGACTCCATCTCAAAAAAAAAAAAAAAAAATTATATAAATACTTCACAGTGTTAAGATAATTTGAGTAACATTCTTTTTTTTTTTTTGAGACAGAGTCTAGCTCTGTCACTTAAGCTGGAGTGCAGTTGTGCAAACATGGCTCACTGCAGCCTCAACCTCCTGGGCTCAAGTGATCCTCCCATGTCAGCCTCCTGAGTAGCTGGGACTATAGGCATGTCCCACCACACTCTGCTAATTTTTAAAAATTTGTTGCAGAGACAGGGTCTTGCCATGTTGCCTAGTCTTGAACTCCCAGGCTCAAGTGATCCCCTGGCCTCAACTTCCCAAAGTGCTCGGATTATAGGTATCAGCCACCATGACTGGCCTCTTCTTATTTTAAAAATATAAGATTGCTCAGAAGAGTCTGACAAGTTACATAGTTTATGTCAGTTCTGAAAAGATCTCTAACAGAGAAGAATTGTTACTATGAATCCAATACTGCCTCACAAATGTAATTCCCCCAACCCACAAAAGTCCATTAATGTTTTCTTTTTTCTTCTTCTTTTTTTTTTAATGTTTTCTTATTATTAAAAGAAACAGGCTATCAGTTGGGACTTGGAAGGCTATTTTATATTGAGATTTTTGTTGGCATTAAAGTCAATTTAACAGCATTTTAAGTCCATACTATTAGGAGAAAGCTAAGAAAACTGGACTGTTGTTTTGTTGTTGTTTTTAAATAGAGATGAGGTCTCACTGTGCTGCCCAGGCTGGTCTCAAACTCCTGAGTTCAAGTGATCCTCCCACCTCAGCCTCCCAAAGTGCTAGGATTACAGGCCTGAGCCACTGTGCCTGGTCACAGTTTCTTTAGATAACAAGTGATCAGTCTTATAAGCTACATTTCTGTGAAAACAAAACAGGTGGTCATAAGCAAATAAGAATTCCGGATCGTGTCTCTCCATCTACCTCTATGAAGCAATTTCTAAAAAGTGTGTGATACTTAGGCATGTGGTAAATAGAACTCTACTCCTAGAGAAGTAGTAATGTTGCTTCTTGCTTCAATTACACACTTTCTGAGGAACTACTTACCCTACACAAGCTTTAACACATACCAAACAAAACGGTAATGAACATGCAAGCAATGTAGTTATAGGACTGAGTAATAATTACTGGCTAGGCAGTCTCTCATGTGAAAAGACTGAACCTTTAATCTACCGACATTCTGAAAGAACCTGAAACCTGGCACACAGTAAGACATTCTTTTTTTCTTTGTTTTGAGATAGAGTCTTGTTTTGTTGCCCTGGCTGGAGTACAGTTGAGTGATCTCGGCTTACTGCAGCCTCTGCCTCTCAGGTTTAAGTGACTCCCCTGCCTCAGCCTCCCAAGTGGCTGGGATTACAAGCACCTGCCACCATGCCCAGCTAATTTTTGTAATTTTAGTAGAGACAGGGTTTCACCATGTTGGCCATGCTGGTCTCAAACTCCTGGCCTCAAATGATCCACCCACCTCAACCTCCCAAAGTGCCGGGATTATAGGTGTGAGCTACAGGCCCCAGCCTAGATATTCTTGATTTTAATTTGTGACCAATTACTAGATTATAAACAGATGTAGGTTGAGTATGGTGTGTTAAACTATGTGAACCAAACATATGCTTAAAAATAACACAGTACTTAAAAAAAAAAAAAAGGATAACCATTAAGCATCCATCTACCTAAGTTGGCAGTATTTCTTTTCACAAATTCAGTAATGCTATATTCCTAGAATATAAAATTCAGGAAAGGGTAATTATATAATCCTTTTTCCAAAACAGAATAAAAACACTATGATACCATGTTTTGGAAAATAGTAGTCTTGGGGTATGGTAGTCTATGTATATTTATTTTTTATTCAACTTTCCTTCACAATTAGTCCCAGCACTTGGGAGGCCAAGGCAGGTGGCTCACAAGGTCAGGAGATTGAGACCCTCCTGACCAACATGGTGAAACCCCGCCTCTACTAAAAGTACAAAAATTAGCTGGGCATGGTGGTGCATGCCTGTAATCCCAGCTCTTCAGGAGGCTGAGGCAGAAGAATCTCTTAAACCAGGGAGTTGGAGGTTGCAATGAGCTGAGATCATGCCACTGCACTCCAGCCTGGGCAACAGAGGCAGACTCCGTCTCAAAAAAAAAAGAAAGATGTGGATTTGTCATAATTATCTGAAGTACTGTTTTAACTTGAGATGTTGAATCAACCTGAAGTATCTAACACTTCTATTAAGGACTATTATAAGAAGGCATTTGTTTCTCTTGATGGTGTTAAGATAGCGTCTTACTCTGCTGCTCAGGCTGGATGCAGTGGTGCGCTCACTGTAGTCTCAACCTCCTGAGCTCAAACAATCCTCCCTCCCCAGCCTCCTGAGTAGCTGGTACTACAGGCATGTGCCACCACACCTGGCTAATTTTTAGAAATGGGGTCTTGCTCTGTTGCCCAGACTGGTCTCAAACTCCTGGGCTCAAGCAGTCCTTCTCCCTCAGCCTCCCATTGTTGGGATTACAGGCATGAGCCACCTTACCCAGCTTTTTTTAAGCAACCCAGTCTATGATATCAAAAAAGTTATATGACTCAATTATCTGTGTGCTTAATTTGATCAGCATCTTTTTTTTTTTTGAGACAGAGTTTCGCTCTTGTTATCCAGGCTGGAGTGCAATGGCGCGATCTTGGCTCACCGCAACCTCCGCCTCCTGGGTTCAGGCAATTCTCCTGCCTCAGCCTCCCGAGTAGCTGGGATTACAGGCATGCACCACCATGCCCAGCTAGTTTTTTGTATTTTTAGTAGAGACGGGGTTTCACCATGTTGACCAGGATGGTCTCGATCTCTTGACCTTGTGATCCACCCGCCTCGGCCTCCCAAAGTGCTGGGATTACAGGCGTGAGCCACCGCGCCCGGCCGATCAGCATCTTTTTAAAGGTATACAAGATAAAAAATTTTTCCAGAGTGACAAAATCAAGACTTGGTAGACCAATGTCAGAGTTAAAGCTATGTTCCTAAATACATTACTTTCATCCAGGGAGTTATTTAAATGCTAAGGTGCATAATCCCCATTTAGTACAAGGAAATGTTTTCTAAATATTTAAATAAATAAATTGCCATTTGAATGCCTATCAGGTACTTGGCATTCTGCTAAGCAGCTTTCTTTTTTTCCCAAGCATTTTTTTTTAACCCTAACAACCCAATGGGGCAAATATATCCACATTTTATAGGTAAAGAAATTGAGGTTCACAGATGTTAGGTAATTTGTCCAAGGTTGCATAGTTAGTAAATACGTGTGTGGAATTCAGATTGAATTCTGACTTCAAAATTAGTATGTCTCACTTAACTGTCAGTCCTTAAACCATTGCGAGTCATGGACTTGTTTCAAAATCATATAAAACTATATCACCTTTCTTTTGAGAACTGCACATACAGTAGTTTGGCATTTCACTTTGCAGGGCCTAAATCTGAAGCTCTGGGTCTATTATGCCAGGTTAAGAGCCCCTGCACCAGACTGTACTGCATTAAGTAACATATATCTATCTATACAATTACCCTACATGTTCTACTACCCTCTTTGGAAAACAAATTTAATTTTTAAATTCTAAAAAATTACTTTTTTTTGAGACAGTCTTGCTCTGTATCCCAGGCTGGAGTACAGTAGTGCCATCTGGGCTCACTGCAACCTCCACCTCCCAGGTTCGAGATTCCTGTGCCTCAGCCTCCTGAGTAGCTGGGATTACAGGCATGTGCCACCATGCCAGGCTAATATTTTTGCTATTTTTTTTTTTTTTTTTTTTGGAGACGTAGTTTCGCTCGTTATCCAGGCTGGAGTGCAATGGCGCGATCTCGGCTCGCCGCAACCTCCACCTCCTGGGTTCAGGCAATTCTTCTGCCTCAGTCTCCTGAGTAGCTGGGATTACAGGCACGCGCCACCATGCCCAGCTAATTTTTTGTATTTTTAGTAGAGACGGGGTTTCACCATGTTGACCAGGATGGTCTCGATCTCTTGACCTCGTGATCCACCCACCTCGGCCTCCCAAAGTGCTGGGATTACAGGTGTGAGCCACCGCGCCCAGCCTTTTGCTATTTTTTTAGTAGAGATGTGCTTACATGTTGCCAGCTGGTCTCCTGGCTTCAAGTAATCTGCCGACCTCAGCCTCCCAAAGTGCTGAGATTGCAGGTGTGAGCCACCACGCTCAGACAGAAATTACAATTTTAATGTAGTTTAGAAGGATTACAAAACTATTTGCATATGCCTTCCTTTAAATTTTGACTAATTTTGCCTCTGGCAGTGGGATCAAAATAAAAGCACCAATTCTTATTTGTAATGCAACAGCATGTCTTAGAATAGATCTCAAGTAAGCATTACAAATAAAATACTGAAATTAATTTGTATTTAAAAATAAATTAGCCCAGTAGCATAAAATTAAATCCAAGGCTCCAAATAAAAATTTCAGCAAATTCCCCTATTACCTGTTAGCACCGAAAAATATCAGCTGCTATACATAAATAATTTGTGCATTATTCATGGGTAGAAGGAAAACAAGCAGCTGTCATGGTAGTCTTTCTTTTCTTTGACCTTAACTTACCCTCTCTGATCCTGAATAAATGGTAGGTAGTATCCCTGAACTAAACTTGGGAAGTACTTAAGTAAATATATTCTCAAAAAGAATTGATCACAGGTGTCTAAAAATTAAAACATTTATTAACAAACAAAGTATCTCTTTTAAATGGGCCAAGAAACAATTCTATGACAAAAGTGAACCCTAGAATATACATATTCCCAGAAGAAAATTTTCCAGGATACCCAGCCAAACAATTTCACCCAAGCACAAAAGTCATTTGCATTGAAGCCTGCGGTCATTTCTTTTTCTAATTCTATTCTCTCATTTCCTTCTAAACATGATCTTAATTAAGCATATACTTGTTAAAGACGTCTCATTGCAAAAGCCATGGGAATAGCAGTCAGGAAGAGAACTCTGAAGCCCAGTCACTCTACAGATCCAAAGTTTAAATGCCATGTGCCCTTGTAACTTAGCTTCTCTGCATCTATTTCCTTGTCTGTAATGGTATTAGGTTGGTGCAAAAGTAATTGCGGGATATTTACCTTATAAGGGTGTTGATGATTAAATACACAAGTGAATAACCTAAAACGTATAGAAAAGTGCCAAGCATGTACTAAATGCTCAAGAGTTTGAGCTATTATTACTCCAGCTTTTACATCAAACCAAACAGTATCCTCCTAAGCAACCTAGGGATTACAATGACAAACCTAGTCAGAGGTAAATCAAGGTATTAAATATGTTTGGGAATACAGAGATAATTTGTGAATACAGAGTAAAGATACTATAATTAATCCCGTTATTATTTCTCACCATAGTATCTGAAATATGGTACCTAGTTATTATTATTTTTATAGATACAGGGGTCTTGCTATGTTGCTCAGGCTGGTCTCAAACTCCTGGCCTCAAGTGATCCTCCTGCCTTGGCCTCCCAAAGTGCTAGGATTACAGGCATGAGCCACTGTGCCCAGCCCTAGTTTTTAAAATGATTTCATTTATGTGTGAACCCAAACACTTTGAAAATACTAAAAATTACTATCAATGTTTGTCTTACTCATTCTTCAGATTATCCTTTATATTTTCAGTAGTGCCACATAATTTTATAACTAAATTTTATTATAGCTGAACATTTCAAAGAGTTGTTGTTTTGAAATAAATAAATTTTGCTATGATTAGAGAAAATCTATTCAGAAAGTACAATATACATGAATTTATGGCACTTGTCCAAATATTATCAGCATACAAATTATTGTGTAAAGTTTTTTCTTACACGTAGGATCTAATATGCAAAGAAAAATGGAATTTGTATTCAAAACAAATAGAAGCAACACTGGCTCCTATACACTAAAAATATAAGACAGATTTTTTTTCTTTAACACTCTGGATACAAATACTAACTGTATGGGTTGAGAACTTTTAAGTTTTCATAATATAAGTCACAAAGTATACAAGTAGAGCTCTATAAATATATCCCCTATAATAATCATATGCAAAACCATTCTATCACAAATACGACCAAAACCCTTTGAAAAACATAAACTACAAACACATTTTCAAAGAAATTATTAGTTATAACAACTACAAAAGCAATCAGTATCAACAAAGTTATTTGGCTGTCAGAAATGAAGGGCAGTATAATGTAAAATTCAAATACTGCAAAGTTGTTTTTTGAAGATGTAGTCTTGAGTTTCTTTTTCTTTTTTTTAAATCTTAGAGTCAAGGTTTCACCATGTTGCCCAGGCTGGTCTCAAACTCCTGGACTCAGGCAATCCGCCCACATCGGCCTCCCAAAGTGCTGGGATTACAGGTGTGAGCCACCATGCTTGGCCAAGTTTCTTAATACAAGGTACTAAACACTCTTTCAAAAATAATAAGACTTATACTGTATAAAGCTGAGCTAGAACTCTAAAAAGAAAAAATTAAGCAGCAGATGAAAAGTAGATATGTGGAAATAATGGTATCAAATATGATTTTATATAAAATGTACCACTCTTCAAATGTGTAAGGCTTAATATGAATATTTTTGGATTGTGAGTGTCGCTCATCCTAATTTTTAAAGCATTAGTCTCAAACCATTCAAAATCCAGTAACTCACAAATGTTTTGACATTACTAATGTGGACATGGTATAGGATGAAATTTCATGACACCTTACCTATACTGTTCTACCCAATAAAAATATTAACCTTTGGGCTTAGGAGAGAGTGTATCTTTTGAATGTTTGATCTCTATATAAATTCTACTTTCCGGAACATCAGAATTTTGTAATATGAACTAATATCCACCAGGAATTGGTCCAAGTTTAAACAGAAGACCCAAAAGACACATAGGTGTCAAACGGTTTAAGTCTGCTCTATGCAATTATACAGTCATAGTTACTTTTTACAGGAAAGTGCTTTAAAGTCAAAAATATTTGTGTAAAAGGTATTATTAATAGTACTAATACTATCCAAATAGAATTAAAAAAATTAGTTCCCATTTACTCATTTCCCTTGAAAAGTACTCTTCTGCCACAACATAAATAAAAAATGGTCCATAAAATGGTGACATTAGACAATGCATAATTTGTGGTGTGGGCCCTTTAAATGGAGACCAAATTTTTATTAATACAAAGCTAGAGAGATTTTATTTCTTCCATATGCCCAAAGTAACTAATATCAACTCGCATTTTCTGTACACCTTAAGGAATTTTTATTTAACATAATGAGAGATTTAATAACTTATATTAAAGACTATGTAGTGCTCTTTCTGTTGCTGTTCACCAACTGTTTTTATGACGATAACTTCGAGATCTGGAATGTGACCGAAAATGAGAATGCTTTGCTGTTTGTACTTTAGTTTCGGAATTGGTATACCCTTTGGGAGATTTACATGGGGATCTTGCTATTGAGTCAGAATGTCTTCCATGTGATCTTGATTTTGTTCCTGAGCTAGTCTGCTTTTGAGGTGAACTTGACTGTGATTTTCCTATTGACTTGGACCTTTTTTGTAAGGACTTGGACCTTGACCGTCCTCTAGAGCCAAAATTCCTTCTTGGAGTTCTTGACTGCCTTGCTGAGGTAGACCGCCTTGGTAATGATTTGGAACGAGATTTAGACTGGCTATACGAAAATCGCCTGTGTCGAGACCTGCAAATATCCATAATGTTAGAGCATATATTTCACACAAAATAAGAGCTCAGAAAACAACACTTTTAGGAACTTAAATACTTTATATAGCATTAATTATATTTTTACTAGATAAGCTAAAAACACTTCTCATTTTATTATGCATTGCTTTTGGTTCAAACGTTAAGTAACAAGTTTGTAATATTTATTATACTAGAATATATGGCCAAAACTTTTTACTTTGCTAGATATATCTTACAGGGATCAGTTCTGAAAAATGCACTTCATATTTAGATCGTGTTAGCTCTAAAGAGGTACAAAAATCTGAAGGAAAAAAAGATTTTAAAAAACCCAATTATTTATGTCGAGCATGGTGGCTCACAACTGTAATCCCAGCACTTCGGGAGGCTGAGGCGGGTGGATCATGATGTCAGGAGTTTGAGACCAGCCTGGCCAATATGGTGAAACCCTGTCTCTACTAAAAATACAAAAATTAGCTGGGCGTGGTGGCGTGTGCCTGTAGTCTCAGCTACTTGGGAGGCTGAAGCAGGAGAATCACTTGAACCTGGGAGGTGGAGGTTGCACTGAGCTGAGATCGTACCACTGCACTCCAGTCAGGGTGACAGAGTGAGACTCCATCTTAAAATTAAAAAAAAAAAAAAATATATATATATATATATAAAAAAAAAAATATATATATGAGTAGGACTTATATATATATATATAAGTTCAAATAATGCTTATAAAAATAAAAATCTAGATACAGGAGTCTTGGGTCCTGCCATGATAGAACAGCTTGTTATTAGGCTAATCTTGCCATAGAAGACAGCTATATTAAAAAGCTACACAATATTTATAAAAGAACTCTCTGAAGGCACTGGACAATAATCAACACAAGCAGGAAGAACCTAAGGGATTAAAAGCCTTAGCTCTTTTACTAAGACCACTGCCAAATGACACCATGGAGGAGTTGAGCCCAACCAGAAAATGGCTATTTGATTAAGCCGAAGAGAGAAAAGTTAGAATTCAGGACTGCCAAAATGGGTAAGGCTTGAGAGGCAAAAACTCTAGAGATGAGTGAATTACAGACCAAAAAGTACCTCTAAAATCTGTCTACAAATTTTCCTTAAATTACTTGCCATCTTCCAAGTTGTGTGTGTATGGGAAGAGATTCCAAGGGGCCAGCAAAAAAATGGAATTCAGAAATTCAAGAACTGAGCAGAAATTTTTATCAGACACACAGTGCTGGGGAGAGAGATTAGAGTTCAAACTCCCAAAAGGCCAGTGAGGAACATTAGGCAACAACCCAGATGGGCTACATTCTAAAGGTAAGGACCATCATGCCCTAGGAATGGGCGACAGGCGAGACTCCATCCCAAAATTTAAAAAAAAAAAAAAAAAACCAATTATTTAAAGTTCAAAGCCAAAGCAGAGCAGCTTTAACAATGCCTAAAACCAAGCCTTAACAAGATCAAAGTGATCTGCCAGCACTCTGCCTCCTAGAAGAAAACAACTGTCTTTGGAGAATAACGTCAATGTAGCACCACTATAATTTTTTGCCCATAATGTCTAACATGCTATTTTAAAAAATTATAAGGTATGTTAAAAAAACAGGCAAGAATGACTAAAAACTAAGGCAAACAAAAGACAAAAGAACCATTCCCAAAGTGATTTGGATATTGGCATGATCAAACAGGAATGGAAAAATTACTATGAGTAATATATTCAAGAAAATAAGAGGAAAAGACAAAACAGATAAAAAGATAGTTTCAGTGGAAAACTAGAAGCTATAAAAAGAAACAGACATTTAAAACTAAAAATATATGATATCTGAAATTAAAAAGTCATCAGATGGTCTTAGCAGGAATCTGGATATAGCAAAAGAAATAGTGAACTAGGCTAAGTGGCTCATACCTGTAATCATAACACTTTGGGAGGCCAAGGCAAGTAGATCACCTGAGGTCAGGAGTTCAAGACCAGCCTAAGATGGTAAAACCCCATATCTATTAAAAATACAAAAATTAGCCAGGCGTGGTGGCACATGACTGTAATCCCAGCTACCTGGGAGGCTGAGGCAGGAGAATCGCTTGAACTTGGGAGGTGGAGGTTGCAGTGAGCCAAGATCATGCCATTGCACTCTAGCCTGGGCAACAAGAGAAAACCTCGAACTAAAAAAAAAAAAAAAAAAAAGAAAGAAATAGTGAACTAAAAGATCATTAGAAAAGCATCCTATTGAAAGACAATGCGAGAAAAGGAATTTTAAGAAATCCATAAAAGAACACATCAGATATGTAGTATATAGTCATACAGGCAAGAAGAAAGACTGAATAAGGCAGCAGCAATATTTGAAGAGATAATGGCCTTGAATTTTACAAAACTAACAAAAAGCATTAACTCACAACTTCAAAAAGCTCAATAAACCCCACATAGACAAAGAAAACAGTACTAGGCACATCACAGTGAAACTGCTGAAAACCAATGTCAAAGAAAAAATCTGAAAACCAGCTGGGCACAGTGGCTCATGCCTGTAATTTCAGCACTTTGGGAGGCCGAGGCAGGCAATCACCTGAGGTCAGGAGTTCAAGACCAGCCTGGCCAACATGGAGAAACTCCACCTCTGCTAAAAATACAAAATTAGCTGGGTGTGGTGGTGTGTGCCTGTAATCCCAGCTACTCAGGAGGCTTAGGCAGGAGAATTGGTCCAATCCAGGAGGTGGAGGTTGCAGTTAGCAGACATTGTGCCACTGCACTCCAGCCTGGGCAACAGAGTGAGACTCTGTCTCAAAAAAAAAAAAAAAAAAATCTGAAAACCTTGCCAAAGAATGAAAGACAAATTATCTTCAAGGGAGCAATAATAAGACTGACAACAGACTATGGATATCAGAAAAACAACAGAATGACATTTTTAAAGAGGAAAAAAAAAGTTACTGCCAATATAGAATTCTATATACAGCAAAAATATTTTTCATAAATGAATATTAAATAAAGATGTTTTCAAACAAAAGCTGAGATAATTCACTATAAGCAGATGCGTATTATAAGAAATACTAAATATTCACTGCCCTGGTACTTCCTGGTGAGGTGAAAGAGAAAAAAAAGAAATACTAAATATTCTTTAGACTGAAGAAAAATGATACTATATAGTAACACTGAACTAGAAGAAGAAATTTAAAAAGCTTTCTTTGGAGAATAACATCATGCAGAGCCTCTTTAGTTTTTGGTTTTGTTTGTTTTTTTGAGACAGAGTCTCGCTTCGTCACTCAGCCTGGAGTGCAATGGTGCAAGCTTGGCTCACTGCAACCTCATCCTCCCAGGTTTAAGCAATTCTCCTGTCTCAGCCTCCCAAGTAGCTGGGATTACAGGCATGTGCCACCATGCCTGGCTAATTTTTGTATTTTTAGTAGAGATGAGGTTTCACCATGTTAGGAAGGCTTCTCTGACCTCAACTGATCCACCTGCCTCAGCCTCCGAAAGTGCTGGGATTACAGGCATGAGCCACTGCACCTGGCTTCTCTTGAATTTTTTTTTTTTTTTTTTTTTTGAGATGGAGTTTCCCTCTTGTTCAGGCTGGAGTGCAATGGCGTGATCTCGGCTCACCGCAACCTCCGCCTCCTGGGTTCAAGCAATTCTCCTGCCTCAGCCTCCCGAGTAGCTGGGACTACAGGCGCGCGCCACCATGCCCAGCTAATTTTTGTATTTTTAGTAGAGACGGGGTTTCACCATGTTGACCAGGAAGGTCTCAATCTCTTGACCTTGTGATCCACCCGCCTCAGCCTCCCAATGTGCTGCGATTATAGGCGTGAGCCACCGTGCCCGGCTTGAATTTTTTATTATATATTTCTGCTGAAAATATATTGATATCGAATATGTTCTGGAATAAATTCATAGTCGTTTAGAAATTATTAAATTTCATTTTGTGGACAATTGTAGGAAACAAAATGAAGAAAATACTCTTGAAAAAAAATCCTAACATAGGAACATTTAGAGTTCTAACATACACATTTCTTGATATAAAGTTAAAAAAGATTTATGGAATACCTTTTAAAATTTTAATTTAATTAATTTATTTATTTTGAGACAGAGTCTTACTCTGTTGCCTAGGTTGAAATGCAGTGGCACAATCTTGGCTCACTGCAACCTCCACCAGGTTCAAGCAATTCTTGTGCCTCAGCTTTCTAAGTAGCTGGAACTACAGGCATGTACCACCATGCCCAGCTAATTTTTGTACTTTTAGTAGAGATGGGATTTCACCATGTTGGCCAGTCTGGTCTTGAACTCCTAGCCTCAAGTGATCTACCTGCTCCAGCCTCTCAAACTGCTGGGATTACAGATGTGAGCTACCATGCCCAGCCTGGAATACTTAATATAAGCTAGCAACTACTGCTAAGTGCCAGAGATATAAACATGAGTTAGACAAAAGTCCTTGTCTCTAGAAATTCATAGCCTAGTGCAGCAACAAACTAGTTTTCTGCCATATCCACTGAAGAAAAAATAAAAGACCTCTTTTAAGTCCAAGGTAATGCCACATATACTGCATACATTTAAAGTATATGTTGGCTTATATATTCTGATCCATATACATACATAAAAACATATACAACACATATAAATATACACATATGCTCACATACCCACCCACTGATAATCTGATCCTTATGAATACTTGGAGAGCTAGGTCAGATTTCATTCTTTGCAATACAATTTTTATTTTTATTATTTATTTGAGACAGGGTCTCACTTCATTGCCCAGGTTGGAGTGTGGTGGACTGCAGCCTTAACCTACTGGGCTCAAGCAGTCCTCCCACCTCAGCTCACCCTCTTCTTCCCTCCCAGTAGCTGGAACAGGCATGTGCCGCCACACCTGGCTAATTTTTTTTTTTTTTTTTTTAAGACATAGGGGGTCTCACTATGTTGCCCAGACTGGTCTCTTGACTTCCTGGACTCAAGTGATCTCACCCTGGCCTCCCAGAATGCTGGGATCACAGATGTGAGCCAATGCTCCTGGCCATAATACAATTTTTAAAATGAGAAAAACTGGGGTCAGGGAGGTTAAGCAATGGTCTCATAACAAGTACAAAGCAGAATAGCATTGTCCTGAAAGATGTGATCCTTCTATCCCTGATACTCCATGATTTGAGATAGTCAAGTGTTATACTTCCACTAGAAGGCAGAAAATGATGTGAATATCCACCTTACTTAAGCAGGAGAAAAAAACTGGTTCACTAAAGTTGTAATAAATTTAGAAACAATCAATTTAAATTCTTTTTTTTTTTTTTTTTTTTGAGGCGGGGTCTTTCTTTGTCACTCAGGCTGTCATGCAGTGGCATGATCTTGGCTCACTGCAACCTCTGCCTCTTGGGTTCAAGTGATTCTCCTGCCTCAGCCGCCTGAGTAGCTGGGACTACAGGTGCATGCCACCACACCTGGATTTTTTTTTTTTTTTTTTTTTTTTTTTGAGATGGAGTCTCGTTTTGTCACCCTGGCTGGAGTGCAGTGGCACTGTCTTGGCTCACTGCAACCTCTGCCTCCTGGGTTCAAAAAATTCTCTTGCTTCAGCCTCCTGAGTAGCTAGGGTTTCAGGCATGTGCCACCACACCCAGCTAATTTTTGTATTTTTGATGGACACGGGTTTCACCATGTTGGCCCAGCTAGTCTCAAACTCCTGAACTCAGGTGATCTGCTTGCCTTGGCCTTCCGAATTGCTGGGATTATAGGCGTGAACCACTGCACCTGGCCCGTATTTTTAGTAGACACAAGGTTTCACCATATTGGCCAGGATGGTCTTGAACTCCTGACCTCAAATAATCCACCCACCTCTGCCTCCCAAAGTGCTAGGATTACAGGTGTGAGCCACCACGCCCAGTCCATATAATTTCTGTTGTGATTCACTTATTATTCTAATAGAAATAAACTCCTGGCTAGCAAAATAAATAATTTGGAAATATCTTTCCCCCTCCCCCCAAATTACTATTTAATATGTCTTCTTCAATACTGCCATACTTGGAACTTACTCTTGATAATAACTTACCTTTCACAAGTAAATTGATTTACATTAACTTTAGTCAACCACCTTTCATAAGGGATTTTATTATATGTCTTTTTTTCTTGGTTTTTTTTTTTTTTTTTTTGCAGAGATGGGGGTCTCTCTCTGTTGCCCCAGGCTAGTCTTGAACTCCTGGCATCAAGTGATGCTCCCATCTCAGCCTCCCAAAGTGCTGAGCTTACTGCACCTGGTCATTTTATTATATTTCTTATGCATTTAAACATTTTTAAAGTTGAAGATTCCAAATTGTTGGGCGCATTTAGGAAAATTTTATTTATCTAAAATGTATCACATTTTTTTAAAATTTTTCTTTTACCCAACAAGTAGTACAATAATTTTTTTTTTTTTTTTTTTTTTTGAGATGGAGTCTTGCTCTGTCGCCTAAGCTGGAGTGGTACAGTGGTGTGATCTCAGTTCACTGCAACTGTGCCTCCCCAGTTCAAGTGATTCTCCCACCTCAGCCTCCTGAGTAGTTGGGATTACAGGTGTGTGCCACCATGCCTGGCTAATATTTGTATTTTTAGTAGAAATGGGGTTTCACCATGTTGGTCAGGCTGGTCTCGAACTCCTGACCTGTGATCCGTCTGGTTTGGGCTCCCAAAGTGCTGGGATTACAGGTGTGAGCCACTACGCCCAGCTGAGTATGTATTTTCTTACTTTTTGTTTTTTGTTCACTATGTATCATCTTCTCATATAAAAAATTTAAGTCTGTAACTTTAACATAAGAATGAATCCAATAAACCCAAGTCAAATAACAATATATGATAGAGAAGAGCACTATCTTTTAACAGAAATTGATTATTTTTGTACATTAAACAAAATGACTCAAGTGGACTGTTTATAAAAACTTTAAAATATTTTCCAGGCTGGGTGCAATGACTCACACCTGTAATCCTAGTGCTTTGGGAAGCTGAGATGGGAAAATCACTTGAGTCCAGGAATTTAAGACCAGCCTGGGCAACACAGCAGGACGCCCCCTCTCCATCTCTACAAAATAATAAAAAAAATTAGCCTGGTGTGGTGGTGCACACCTGTAGTATCTGCTACTTGAGAGGCTGAGGTGGGAGGATTGCTTGAGCCTGAGAGATCAAGGCTACAGATCGTGCGCCACTGCACTCCGGCCTCGGAAACAGTGAGACCCTGTCAAAAATAATATATATATATGTTTTCCAGAAAAAGTAGAAAATAAAGTTTTCAGTCCCTGTATTTTGTACTCACTCTTTAAGGCTGTCTGACCGCCTCCTATTTCTTCCCCATGAAGAACTTCTACTTCGAGTTCTTCTTTGGCTGGGGCTTCTTGATCTCCTGTGATCACTTGGAGAACAAGGATGACGTTCTTTTGATTTCATTTGGCCTGGTGCTGGAACATCAAGAACAAGACTTATAATTCGTTACCTGAATACCACAGTAACAGCCACTCAACTAGTAATCATTTTCTGAAAGAATTTTACATTAAAAAAATCAGTCATCACTAAAACTCATTCTGCTGAATAAATAAAATCTAACATTCAGTCACACTTACTTTTGCGATCACCTTGTGCAAACTGTATTTCAATTTGACGGCCACATACCCACTTTCTATTGAGGTTATAAAGAGCATCTTCAGCATCTCGAACATCTTCAAATATGACTAGCTGTTAAGGACACTTTGAACATGAGATATCAAGTAAACATATTTTAAAAGTATTATTTACATGTGAAATGAAATTAATAGGAAAATAAAGTTCAAGTTATAAGCTCACATCTTCAATATAATATGAATAATCAGAAAAAAGCTTTCACTTTTTCTCATGAAAACAAATGACCCATTATGATTCAGAAGAGTGAGTCTAAAAATAAAAAGAACAAAAGCAAACGTGTAACTATACCTTTAATGTCTATAATAGTGTAGCTGCAGTATGCATGTATAATTTGAACTACAAGAAAAAAAAAGTCCAAAATTGGCTAGCATTATAAAATTATAAACTGTTTAGGACTCACTCCCTTCTTTCAGATAAAGGATCCATCAGGTTTTTCACTGAATATCAGCATGCAGAAGGCTTTATTCTGAAATTAAAATTACTCTTTCATTAAAAGACTTTTAAATTTGACATTTAAGAAAGATTACTTACAAACAAAACCAGACATATACAAGCGAGTTAAAACAAAAACTGATTCAGTCCTTTAAAAATGATATCTACCTTTGAACCTACCATTTTAAACATTTATTTTTCATTTTTTTGAGACGGAGTTTCACTCTTGTCACCCAGGCTGGAGTGCAATAATGTGATCTCATTTCATTGCAACCTCCGTCTCTGGGGTTCAAGAGATTCTCCCGCCTTAGCCTCTGGAGTAGTTGGGATTACAGGCACACGTCACCACACCCGGCTAATTTTTGTATTTTTGGTAGAGACGGGGTTTCACCATGTTGGTCAGGCTGGTCTCGGAACTCTTGATTTGAGGTGATCCACCTGCCTCAGCCTCCCAAAGTGCTGGGATTACAGGCATGAGCATTGTGCCTGCCCAAACATTTCTCTTTTTACTACTTGGGATATAGATATAAAAGAAACATAAAAGCAATCTGTACATATCTGGAATTACATATATTGGTTTGTAAATCCCAGTAAACTTCCTTATGTATATAAATTATATAATATTAAACCTAGCTATAATGGAAATTAGCTATATAAGAGTAAATAACTTTTTTTAGAAGATTTTTACTGGTTTAATTAAAAAATAAACAGAAAAAGCTCAAGAAATGCAATATAAAACGAGACTTTGGCAATTACCTCAATGTCACTTGATCTTGAACCTTGACCTTTACTCTTTAAGGCTTGCAAGGTGGACTTTATAAGAGACGCAGAACCAACAAAATCAGACTTGGCTTTGACTCTGGAACTCTGAGTAAATGTAGGAAAGCCGAAGTCTCAACCTGGTGTTGGCTTTGTCTTTTGCTTGATAAAGACTTCCCCTCTTCCAGGTCTTTATATCTGTGTCCACCCTCCCTCTTTACTCCTTGATGCTTGAACTTTAGGTGCCTTTTGTCTCGCCTGCTGGATTTATGCTTGGATTCTAGCTAACAGGTTGGTTCAAACTGGGGGGCGCTTGCCAGCTACTGTGGACTGCTTTAGATCTTCTGAGATAAAGAAATAAACACATTTAATTAGGCAATATTAATATCATATGCTACTGAATACATATATGTATAAACACACATATGCAGTATATTCACATGCACGCAATAAAATAAAGGATATTGAACATAAGCAAATCCTCTTGGGCGGCGCGTGTAGAAGTCAAGTGGAATGTAAACGTCTACTATAGGGCCATATCGACCAAACTCACGGCGCAAGTCCTCAGGCCTGAAGTGTTTTAGAAATAAGGCAAAGAAATATGAATAGCTGGATTAAAATATTTTGCCTACAGAAATCCCCTTGAAACCTTCAAAAGAAAGAACATCATCTAGACCAGCATTATCTAAAATTGTTTTTTGTAAGAATCATGCAAGGTTTTGAAAGGAAGGGAAAAAAGAAAGAAAAAAAACATTCTCAGGCCAGGCATGGTGGCTCACACCTATAATCCCAGCACTTTGGGGAACCAAGGTATGTGGATCACTTGTACTCCTGAACTCCAGCCTGGGCAACATGGTGAAACCCCTTCTCTACAAAAAATGCAAGAATTAGCCAGACTTGGTAGCGTGTGCTTATAATCCCAGCTACGTGGGAGGCTGAAGTGGGAGAATCACCTGAGCGCAGGGAGGTTGAGGCTGCAGTGAGCCAAGATCACACCACTGCACCCCAGCCTAGGTGACAGAGTGAGAACCTGTCTTAAAAAAAAAACAACCCCCCCCAAAAACCCCCCAGATTTTCAGACCTCTCTTGGAGGTTCTGATTCAGGTAGTCTGGATTAGAGGCTGGAAATCTGTATCTTTACAAGCACTCCAGGTGGTTGTTAGGCTTAATTTCCAGAAACACTGACCGAGCATATCTACCTCTGAAAGTTATTATAAGACCAAGTAAGTAATTGTTTCACTAAGAACACATTCATTTTGCCTCACTATAATTTTTCTTTTTTTTTTTTTTAGCATCATAATTCCATAAGTGCCTCACTATAATTTCATGTTTATGTTAATCTTGTTTTCAGATTGTAAGAATTATATTCTAAAGAAGCCCTAAAATTATTTCTCAGGCTTTAAAGAAAATGACTGTTCTAATATTAAACATAAAACAAAGTAACTACTGTATTCCCCAATTGGACAAGTATTTTGAGCCTGCTATATGCCTTCTAGTGTGATTAGGTACTTCAAAAGGGATATTTAAAAAATTAAATAGCATATTAATCTTCATGAGGCTACAATTTAACTGAAGAGACAAAATATTTAGCAGTAATAGCTAACAGTTACAGTGCATTTATATATTAGCCACTGTTCACCTTACAACCATTTAATTCTTACAAGATCCCTGTAGTTATCTACAGGTGATATAAACAGATTACAGGTGATACAGACAGATTACAGGTTATTTACAGGTGACACAAACAGATTACAGATGATATTGACATTTTAACCCTTCTAAGGTTGCTGAGCTAGCAAGTGACAGAGCCAGAAATCAAATTTTCAGTCTCACACTAGTCCATCTTCTTTCTTCTTTTTTTTTCTGAAACAGAGACTTGCTCTGTCGCTTTGCTGGAGTGCAGTGGTGCGATCTCAGCTCACTGTAACTTTGGCCTCCCAGGTTCAAGCAATTCGCCTGCCTCAGCCTCCTTAGTAGCTGGGAATACAGGCAAGTGCCACCATAAAAATTAACCACATACCCAGCTAATTTTTTCACATTTTAGTAGAGAGAAGGTTTCACCATGTTGGCCAGGATGGTCTCAATCTCCTGATCTCATGATCCACCCACCTTGGCCTCCCAAAGTGCTGGGATTAGAGCCGTGAGCCACTATGCCTAGCCTAGTCCATCTTCTTAACCACTACACCCTACTACTTCATGGTGTTATCATAGGGATTCAGCATCACACTATGATCACAAAATGTGGCTCAGGAGAAATAAAGATTCAAAGATGACTAATAAGCTTCTAGCTTGTTAGTGTCAGTTACAAAATTAGATGGTGTCAGATACAAAAATTAGAAAAGAGAGCTAGGCTAGATCAAGGAGGGAGAAAAGAGGCAAAAAAAAAACAACTTCCAGGTTTAGAAATGCAGAATTTGAGGTGATGGTAGAACATTGATAAGAATGATAAGAGTTCTGTAAGCAACTGAAAATTATTACATGCATTATATTAATGCATATTAATATAATTAATAATTATAATAATTAAGTCTCAAGACTAGAAGCCAGTGATTAAGGCTACAGATGGGAATTTAGAAATTATTACACATATGATTGAACTAATTTTTTTTTTTTTTTTTTGAGACGGAGTTTCACTCATGTTACCCAGGCTGGAGTGCAATGGCACGATCTCGGCTCACCGCAACCTCCGCCTCCTGGGTTCAGGCAATTCTCCTGCCTCAGCGTCCTGAGTAGCTGGGATTACAGGCATGCACCACCATGCCCAGCTAATTTTTTGTATTTTTAGTAGAGACGTGGTTTCACCATGTTGACCAGGATGGTCTCGATCTCTTGACCTAGTGATCCACCCGCCTCGGTCTCCCAAAGTGCTGGTATTACATACAGGCTTGAGCCACCGCGCCCGGCCAGATTAAACAATATTGACGAAGCATTTACTATATGCCAGTAGCGCAGTCAATATTATGACATACTTTATTTAATGTAACACTCATATAACATGTTTGTTTTTACTATTAGTTTTTGAAGACAGTGACAATGTCTTTTTTCTTTCACTTATTCGGAATTCAGCAAATACTTATTGAGCACTTACTATGTGCAAGTTTCTAGGAACATGGTGAGAAACAAGGAATATACAATTCCTTTTCCCACAGATCATAGACTGGCATAAAGAGTCTCAACCTCTCCTGAGTATTGTAATCATCTGTGAGGGGATGTTACAGACAGAGGCACCCCAATCTGATGCATTAACTCTGGACCTAATTAGTGTTTTCCATTGTGAGGTCTAAATTATGTTTAAATTTTTCAGGATTTCACAGGCAATTCTGAGACTGAAGGTTGAGAATCACTGCTAAAGCAGGTGTCTTCACCAACATATCTCTGTACCTAATGTATCTGCGGGCACACAGTAGGTACTCAACATACATTTGCCTATCAATGAGTAAAGAACACATTATTGTTACCATTTAAGAGTAAAGGACGCTGAGAGTGAGAGAAGTTACCTTGCCCAGAGATCTACACAGCCAGTAGCAGAGCTAGGATTCAAATGAAGGTCTTCTTAGACAACCAATCCCATCAACCAAATGTAGTGGCTAAGAGGAAAGGGATCATAGATCATATAAAGGAGGAAGCTGGAGCACTGTGTGTCACAGAGGTTTGGAGTCCTGGAAGCCAAGGGTGATGGGAGTCGGATGGAACAGATCTTTTCAAAAGAACCAATTCCCATTCATTGTCTCCACTCCCTCACCTGTTAGCTGTTGTTTTGTTTTCACTTATTTTTGCACTTTTGGTATGATCTACTTCAACATTCAAAAAAAGCACAGAGAATAATAAATACCCATGTATCTACCAAACATCTCAGTATTTGCCATATTTGCCATAATTTTCAGTATTTTTAAAGAAATTAGATATTATATCCTTCTGTTACCAATGGAGGGTCTTGACTATGAGTCCTCCAGGTTCTTGGCATTTTAAACAAAGAATTGGGGCCGGGCGCCGTGGCTCACGCCTGTAATCCCAGCACTTTGGGAGGCCAAGGCGGGTGGATCACGAAGTCAAGAGATCGAGACCATCCTGGTCAACATGGTGAAACCCCATCTCTACTAAAAAAAAAAATACAAAAAATCAGCTGGGCCTGGTGGCGCGTGCCTGTAATCCCAGCTACTCAGGAGGCTGAGGCAGGAGAATTGCCTGAACCCAGGAGGCGGAGGTTGCGGTGAGCCGAGATCGCACCATTGCACTCCAGCCTGGGAAACAAGAGCAAAACTCCGTCTCAAAAAAAAAAAAAAAAGAATTGGACCAAAACGCACAAAGCAATGAAAAAAATGAAACAATGAAAGCACAGATTTACTGAAATGAAAGGTTACTCCACAGAGTGGGAGCAGACTCAAGCAAGTGGTTCAAGTGTACTGGTTACAGAATTTTCTTGGGTTTAAATGCCCTCTAAGGTTTCCCATTGGTCACTTGGTTACACTCTATGTAAATGAAGACTTGACAGGCAAGCAATCAGAGGCTGAAGTGAAGGTTCAAAGTTACACATGAAGAGGTGACCTGGGACCAGTCTGATTGGTTGCAGGAGGCGACCAGTCAGAGGTAGTTTCCATTTTTCATCTGCAATGCAGTGTAAAGGGAGTAGCCTCTGATCCTTTTATTACTCGGGTGTAGAGAGGTGGAGTTTTCCTTTTGATTCAGTTATAGGAAGTCAGCATGAATCAATCTTAAGTTCCCTGCCTCCAGACCCTATTCTCCTGCTTCAGTATCACCAGCAAAGAATTATTGGTGGGCTGGAGAGTATGCCTACCTCAGCTTCACTTCATGTTCTTCTAAAGTGGCCCAACCAACTTACACGTCCAAAAACATGTGTTAGAATTCCCACTGTTGCCCAGGCATAGTGGCTGACACCTGTAATACCAGCAGTCTGGGAGGCCAACGTGGAAGGACTGCTTGAGCCCAGGAGTTCAAGACCAGCCTAAGCAACATAATTACACCCCCATCTCTACAAAAAATAAAATAAAAATCAGCTGGACATAGTGGCTATAATCCCAGCTACTCAGGAGGCTGAGGCAGAAGGATCACTTGAGCCCAGGAGTTTGAGACTGCAGTAAGATATGATCATGCTACTGCACTCCAGTTTGGGAGACACGGAAAGACCCAATTTCTTTTTTTGTCTTTTTTTTTTTTTTTGAGATGGAGTCTGACTTTGTCACCCAGGCTGGGGTGCTGTGGCACGGTCTCAGCTCACTGCAGCTTTCACCTCCCAGGTTCAAGCAGTTCTCCTGCCTCAGCCTCCCAAGTAGCTGGGACTACAGGCATGTACCACCATGCCCAGCTGATTTTTGTATTTTTAGTAGAGACAGAGTTTCACCATATTGGCCAGGCTGGTCTCAAACTCCTGATCTTGTGATCTGCCCACCTAAGCCTCCCAAAGTGCTGAGATTACAGGCATGAGCCATCACGCCCGGCCACAGCTTTTATTGGTTTAGAGACAAGGTCTCTCTGTCACCCAAGCTGGAGTCCAGTGGTGTAATCATAGGTCACTGTAACCTTGACCTCCCCAGCTCAAGTGATCCTCCCACCTCAGCTTCCCCAGTAAACACGACTACAGGTGTGTCACACACCAGGCTATATTTTACAACTTTCTTTATTTTTATTTTTGAGACAAAGTCTCACTCTACTGCCCAGGTTGGAGTGCAGTGGCCTGATCTCAGCTCACTGCCAACCTCCACCTCCGGGATTCAAGCGATTCTTGTGCCTCAGCCTCCCAAGCAGCTGGAATTACAGGCTCGAGCCACCATTCCTGGATAATTTTTGTATTTAAGTAGAGATGGGGTTTCATCATGTAGGCCAGGCCAGTCTAAAACTCCTGGCCTGAAGTGATCCCCCTGCCTCAGCCTCCCAAAGTGCGGGGATTACAGGCATGAGCCACCGCACCCGGCCTTATATTTTACAGCTTTTAATTCTACAAATGGGATTTTCATAGGCTTAAACTTACTAAATGCTAACATCTAAAGACTGAGTTTATACATACAAAATCCAGATTTCTGACTTCTCTTGAAAACTAGAAAGATAATGTCAACAAGAAGTCCAAATGTCACATAGCAGCTGTCAGATGGAGTTTAGAGGCAGATGCTGCTTTTAGATGTCACATTTCCTTTTCTATTTGCTACAGTCCACACCATCCTACTGTGCCTTATAAGCTGGCAGCTTCAATTCCTGTGGCCATTAGAATTGGAAACCTCTGATTTTTCTGCATACACCCTGAAGAGGCTTGATACTTACTCCGTTTTCAAACTGTTCAACTGCAAGATTTTTTTTTATTCTGCCCAAATTATGAATTTTGCTCGTTTTCTATGTAATATATTGATAAACAGGCTGAGAGAAGAAATGTAAACAAGGCATCTTTTAGATGTTAACTAAGATATATTAATCACAGCATACAGTTGTGATATATGTACTTGGGGTGATCAAATAAAAAATACTTGGCGGAGCGCGGTGCCTTACGCCTGTAATCTTAGCACTTTGGGAGGCTGAGGCGGGTGGATAAGTTAAGGTCAGGAAAGCCTAGCCAACATGGCGAAACATCATCTTTACTAAAAATACAAAAATTTGCCAGATGTGAGGGGACACATGCCTGTACTCCCATCACTAGGGAGGTGAAGCAGGAGAATCGCTTGAACCCAAGAGGTGGAGGTGCAGCGAACCGAGACTGGGCCATTGCACTCCAGTCTGGGCGACAGAGTGAGAATCTGTCTCAAAAACATAAATAATAAAAAAATACTTAACGTTTATTTACTCCTCAAAGGTAAATTATGATACTCCAGATGACTATGGAGTCAAGAGCTCCTTATATCTGCACCTGTCTGGCCCCAGGTAAGTCATTAAAACTCTTAGCTTCTTATATTGTTTGCTGAGAACAGCATGGAAAAAAAAACAAAAAAACAAAAAACTCGTAGCTTCTGCTCTCCCTTATGTACAATAAAACAATATTGCATAGGTAGAAAGGTTAGGGGCAAGTAAATGAAATAAGCATAGCGAAATGAAAATGTCTATTAACACCGTTCCCTGCCCCCGCCCCCGCCCCCAATCCCTCCAGCTCCATTAAGGAAGCAAGTGCTATATGAAGAAGTCATTCCCTAAAATCTGTGTTGAGACACTCTGTGGACAGACATCTCAAAGGAGGACGGGGTGGGGCAGCAGGGACTGAGCATCAGGATCAACCAGGTGAGTCCACCCAAGCCGTTAAAAGGGGTATTAATACTGGACTCAACTTGAAAGAAAAACGCATTGATCTCATTCGCTGAAGTTATCTTTTGTATGCAGAATAAAATTATGTGAATAAAATGTAAGCAGCACCGTTTGTAAGTAGATCAGAACTGGGGGAAAGAAACTGTAAGGCCCGAGTACGCATTATGGTACAGTACGTTCTCACCAGCCCCAATTCCTCTTCTCCTACAAGGGTTGGACGCGCGGTTTTATCGCGGCACGGTGACAAAGGGGCTGAAACGCGGGCACTCGTTGGAGCGCAAACCCTCCCGGCTCGAGGCGGGGAGCGACCCGGGCCCCGAAGAGGGGTGCCCCTTGCCCCACCGCCCGCCAGCTGAGGTGCCGAGGCGGGGAAAGCGGCGAGGCCCCGGGACGTTGTGTTGCGCGGCGCCTGGGCTGAACCCCGGCCGGGAGGGCGGACGCGCGAGTCCCGCCCAGGCCGCGGAGTGGCCCGAAGGCTCACACCTCCCCCGGGGAGGTGCCTCCGCCGGCGGCGCAGCCAGGGCCCGCGGGGAGGCTCCATGCAGCCCCGCCGGGCCTCGGCCGGGCTCCGCGGCGCGGCCGTTACCCTACCCCTCCTCCGCGCCCCCAACCTGCAGCCGCGGCCGTTCACCTGGTGGCGTCCGCGACGTTCCTGATGAACAGGGAGGTGTTGGGGGGCCTCGTGTAGCGAGACATGACCGCTTCCTCCGTTCCCTCCGGGTCTGCCCGCGGCCGCTGGGCTCGCTCCCTCTCCCGCTACCACCGCTGCCGCCACAGGAGCTCCGCCGGCCCCCGGCGCGACCCCCTCCCCTCGGCCTCAGCCCCGCTAGCGCGCAGCCGCAGAGGCCGGCGCGGAGGGGGCGCTGCACGGCGCGAGCCTGGACGCACTGCCCGGGGGCGGGGTCGGGGCCGGCGAGGGCCCGGGGGCCGCGGGAATCCCGAGTACAGGGGCGCCGGGTTTCCGAGGCCATATGGGATCTGCGGATGGGGGTTCCTGGAGTACGACGGAATTAGGGGAGGGGGCTGCGGGGATCAGGGTGTGTCAGGAGGGCGGAGGCCAGAGGGGGCCTGGGGACCCAGAGGTGGTGGTGGGGCTGCGGCTGGGCGGAGGTGGGGTCGGTGAGAGCCGTGTTCAACCAGGTCCGCGCCCAGCCGCCTCTTCCCTCAGCGCATCGTCCTCGGCCCACGACCTTGGCAATTGGGTAGGCCTCCTATCCCTCTGGTCTTGAGCCTTCCGCTTTCCAACTGTGAAGTCTCGGTTTTGTTCGGATTTGTTTTTTAATAGAGATGGGGGTTTCACTGTGTTGCCCAGTGGGTCTTGAACTCCTGGGCTCAAGCTTCTGGCTGGGCCGTCCAAAGTGCTGGGATTACAGGTGTGAGCCACCATGCCTGGCCTGTTGGATTTTTAAGTTTTATGATTCTTCATCCTTTATTCCCTTGGAGCATAACACTAAGCTGTGAGTACATTCATTCAGATGTTTATTGAGCGGCTACTATGCACCAGGCACTTAACGTGGGATATAGCAATGAACAAACAGGCCAAGCCCCGCCCCTCAGAGCTTACATTCTATAGAGGGGGACCAACGAATGAGCAGCAATATAGAAGACGCGAGTTAAAATGCAGGGACAGGTAAGCAAATTTAAATTACCCTCTCCCCATTCCCTCATAATGTAGCCCCTCCCCTTCTAGTTAGATTCTTGTCTTTGCTTTGTTCCCGTGGCCAGCAGGCATGGCCTGTTACTCAGGGCTAGAACTGTAACTTGGTAACTCCTAAGTGTGAAGAGTGCACCTTTTCGCTTTCAGAAGTGATAGGCTTTGAAGAATACATGTCGTGGTCACCCTTCCTAGCTCACAGCCCTTCCAGAGGCTGTGGAGGTTCCTGGGTCTGCAGCTCCACTGGAAAGGTGGCTTTTCATTCATTTAGAAGGGATTGCTCTGGCACAGCAGGTACAGGGCTAGACTGGGAATACAATGGTGGGGAGCGGAGGAACCGTGCCTATTCCCCTGCAGAGTAGAATTTGGTAGGGAGGCAGATTCTAACAATCACACTGGTAAAGATACAAACTATGATACAGGGCTATGAAAAGAACTATATGCTGCTGATAAGGGGCATTGTCGGGTGGTGAGCAGGGCTCACTTACATTCCCTGAACAAGTCTTGAAGAGATGGGTAAAGAATGGAGAAGAGTAATTAGTGCAGTGGAACAGCACATGCAAAGGCTTTGGGCAATATAGTAAACGAGGCAAAACAGGAGCATAAAGCTGGAGAAGAGCTGGAAAATGGGGCTGGAGAGCAGGCTGGGTTCATAATACAAAAACTTAGAGTGCTCACTATGTGTTCGTTTGCTAGGGTTGCCGTAACAAAGCACCAAAAATTTTGTGGCTTAGTTTATTCTTTTGTAGTTCAGAGGCCAGAAGTCTGAAATCCAGGTGTCTTTGCAGGGCCATAGTCTTTCCGAAGGCACTTAAGGGGAATACTCCGCTTCTTCCAGTCTCTGGTGGCCCCATGCATTTTTTGGCTGTGGATACGTAAATCCAGTCTCCACCTCTGTCTTCACATGGCCTCCTCTCTTTCTTTCTTTCTTTCTCTCCCTTTTTGTTTTAATGATGGAGTCTCTATTGCCCCGGCTGATTTCAAAATCCTAGGCTCAAGTGATCCTCCTGTGTTGGCCTCCAAAGTTGAGATTACAGGTGTGAGCCATTGTGTTTGTCCATTTTCATACTGCTGATAAAGACATACCTGAAACTGGGGAGGCCTCACGATCATGGCGTAAGGCAAAAGGCACATCTTACATGGTGGCAGACAAGAGAATGACGGCCAAGCGAAAGGGGTTCCCCCCTTTTTTTTTTCCTAAAGCGTTTCCCCTTATAAAAATATCAGATCTCGTAAGACTTATTCACTACCAGGAGAACAGTATGGGGGAACTGCCCCAATGATTCAATTATCTCCCCATGATTCAGTTATCTCCCCCTGAGTCCCTCCCACAACAGGTGGGAATTATGGGAGCTCAGTTCAAGATGAAATTTGGGTGGTGACAGAGCCAAATGATATCAGCCACCTACCGTATCCTCTGTTCTATCTCTTATAAGAACATTTGTCATTGAATTTAGGGCCTACTTTGTTAATTCAGACGATCTCATCTTGAAATCCTCACTTACACCTGCAAAGACTCTTTTTCCAGATAAGGATAGATACCTGGAGATAGGACTTGGACATGTATTTTTGGGGGCCACTATTCAACCTACTCAATTTTTGCAAAGAAAAGAAACTTGACCTTGTGGGTAGTCACAATTACTCATCCCTGGCATATTGTTTATTGGGGAAAAATCAACTGAGACATGTAAATGATGAAGCTATTCTTTTTTTCATTTTTTTCTTTTTATTTATTTATTTATTTTTATTTTTATTTTTATTTTTTAAAAGACAAGGTTTTACCATGTTGGTCAGGATGGTCTTGAACTCCCGAACTCAGGTGATCTGCCCGCCTTGGCCTCCAAAGTGCTTGGATTACAGGTGTGAGCCACCACGCCCAGCCACAATGAACCTATTTAGTCAAAAACATATTGGCGAGGCGTGGTGACTCATGCCTGTATCCTGGTACTTTGGGAGGCAAAGTTGGGACGATTGCTTAAAGCTAGAAGCTTGTGACTAGCTGGGCAACATAAGAGAAGAGAGTCTCCCCATCTCTACAGAAAATTTTTAAAAAACATTAGCCAAGCATGGTGGCACATGCCTATAGTCCTAGCTCCTCAGGTGGCTGAGACAGGAGGATTGCTTGAGCCCAGGAGTTGGAGGCTGCAGTGAGCTATGTTTCTGCCTTTACACTGCATTTCAGCCTGAGTGATAGAGCAAGATCCTGTCTCTATATAATAAGTTTATCTGTATGTTCATGTATAAATATAATTTTCCAAGTATAGGTATTATACTCTGATACTTGCTTTCTTCTTTTAGTATTATCAGATTATTTTTAAAATGCTTTTTATGAATATAGAAAAAACCCACAAAGCTGTTTACAGTTTGAAAACAGCTTTGTAGGAGTATCCAAAAATACTTAGCCTGCATGTATGGATGGGAAGTGTTTTTTTCTGTTCCTTTTGATGTAAGTACTTGAGGAAACGGTCTTCCACCATGTAAGGAGTTTCCCTTAGTAACTTGAACTTAAAAGGTGGCTGGAACTGATATAAAATAAGTTGTGGAGCCATAATTATTTATATTACATAAAAACATATGTTCTTTTTTCTAGACATGATTTGAGGCAGCTAGTGTAAAGTGTAAGTAAGCTGCTTTCTGGTTGGAAGGCCTGAGAGAACATTGTCTGGCATGGCCAACCAAGGAATGTTACGGTCGACTTGGCCAGTGTTTTGCCTTGGTCCTTAAACCAGTTGAGATGAGTAACTGATGAAGCTGTATCTTGTCTTCCCTTTGGTGGGTTAGGGTATTTGAAGAGGTAAGGGAATGGCTGAGGTCAAGAGTAAACACCCTTCCTGTCCCTGGACTCACAAACATATTCGTATTTACCCCATGTCCTAGAACTTAGGTGCCGATTCACAAAAGTATTGCTTTATTGAATCATTGCTTTAAGGCACCAAATAGTACCCTACAGACTTAGGAGAGTTAATGTTCTTCCTAAAGTGCCAGAGGATTCCCCAAGAGTATACAATTGGCAAATATGACGACTGTTCAATAACTAAAGCCTCATTTTTACACCAGAGTTTAATATATTGTTCTTCGAAGTAACTGTTACTTCCATTACTTTTTATTTAATACATTTTAAGAATTATGAGGAGCAGCTTAATGCTTCTTAATTTTTCTTCTAAGAGAGACTTTGATTTGAAAATATTTTAGGAAAATTTGTATCATTTCTCATTTAGATATCATTATCTGACTTTTCAAAAGTCAATAAATTTCAAACTTTTTCATTGAAATCACAGTTTCATAAAGAGTATTGCAAGAAAAATTCAGAATCTTTTTTTCAATTTTATGTCTTTAAAATTAGTAGTCTATGTTGTATTTAAAATAGAGCCACATATGAATTTATTTATAATATTTGGGTGTTTACTCCTGAGACATGTCTGTGGGGAAATTGCTGATATCACAATAACTTACTGAACACTTAGGACTTTCCTCTTATCTCTACCTACCTGCACACTGTGCAGGTTAGGTGAGCTGGCTATCTCTTCCATCCTTTTTGTCTCTCAGGAGCATCTATTCTGAATGGTACAGGAGAAGCACAAACCTCTTAATATCATCAGTAGATTCGTGGGAGAAGAGTTTGAATGTAGAAAGTTACTGTTTCTGGGTTATTAGTAAAGTTCACAATTCAGGGCTATTGCTATTTCTTTCTAATTATCATGGATACTCAAGGAGTCAAGACAGGTTTACAATGTTGAGCAATACATCCAATATTTGTTATTCTAAAGCAATCTGTATGTGGTTGAATAAGTAGCTTTTCTTCCATTTCTTAAATGGCTCAGAATGGGCTAATTATCAGGTCTAATCAAGGAGTCAAATAATAAAAGACTAATTAATATTTTAACTATATTAAATAATAAATCTGATTAATATCTTAATCAGATTAATTAACTAGTTTTGTTTTTTACTGTCATAGTGGATAACTAGCACTAATTGAAAAATTGTATTTGGGTAGGTATTAGTGTCTTGAAATTTGTGTAATTAAAAAGTACCTTGGTGGCCGGGCGCAGTGGCTCACGCCTGTAATCCCAGCACTTTGGGAGGCCGAGGCGGGTGGATCACAAGGTCAAGAGATCGAGACCATCCTGGTCAACATGGTGAAACCCCGTCTCTACTAAAAATACAAAAAATTAGCTGGGCATGGTGGTGCGTGCCTGTAATCCCAGCTACTCAGGAGGCTGCTGAGGCAGGAGAATTGCCTGAACCCAGGAGGCGGAGGTTGCGGTGAGCCGAGATCGCACCATTGCACTCCAGCCTGGGTAACAAGAGCGAAACTCCGTCTCAAAAAAAAAATAAATAAATAAATAAAAATAAAAAGTACCTTGAAGAAACAGTGTTGGGATTAATGAGGTCAACAGAGAACATCATTTTTTGTTGTGAAGTCACTCTCCAACAGATGGTGCTAACTTTCCTCTAGTGACAGCTGCCTGGTCTATCCTTTCTTAAAACACACCATGACAAAGATGAAGAGTGATGTGGGGATTTGTATACAATACATTGTAAACATTTTTCTATTACCTATGTACTTTGGTTTATAAGACATCATTCCACAAAATCAGTTGGAGAAACTATGATTGTATCCTCTTATGAATTTGATCCCTTTTGCTATAGTCATAAGAAATCATGTTTTAAAAAAGGTCAGTTGTATGATAATAATGTAACTAGGAGGGATCAAGCTAACTTTTTCAGAAAAGTCAGCTTAGCGAAAGTCTGTCACTTTCCCTATATATTTCCTAAAATGATGTTGAGCTCAAGCAGTCCTCCCACCTCACCCTACCAAGTTGCTGGTACCATGCGCAGCTAATTTTTTAATTTTTTGTAGAGGTAGGTCTTGCTATGTTTCCAGGCTGGTCTCAAACTCCTGGCCTCAAGTGATCCTTCTGCCTCAGCCTTCGAAAGTACTGGGATTACAGACTTGAGTCACTCTACTTGGCCCCATCAAGATTTTTTAAGCACGAGATTAAGATTTGTGTTTAATAAGGATATTCTGACAAAAATGTAGAGGATGAATTGGAGGGAACAGTAGAGACTAGTACAAGCAGATCACTTGAAAAGCTCTTGTATGTGATATATTTTCTCTTTTAAAAGTATTTCTCAGCTGGGCATGGTGGCTCATGCCTGTAATCCAGCACTTTGGGAGGCCCAGGCAGGCAGATCACTTGAAGTCAGGAGTTTGAGACCACCCAGGCCAACATGGCAAAACCCTGTCTCTACTAAAAATACAAAAATTAGTCAGGCATGGTGGCCAGAACCTTAGCACCTATAATTCCCACTACTTGAGTTACAGTGAGCCAAGATCATGCCTCTGCACTCCAACCTGGGTGACAGAGGGAGACAATGTCTCAAAAAAAAAAAAAAAGGGTATTTTTTGGCTGGGTGTGGTGGCTCATGCTTGTAATATCAGCACTTTGGGAGGCCAAGGCAGGAGGATGGCTTGAACCTAGAAGTTGGAAACCAACCAGGGCAACAAAGTGAGACCCATGTCTCTACAAAAAATTAAAACATTAGCCAGGTGTAGTGACACACATCTGTAGTCCTAGCTACTGGGGAGGCTAGGGTGGGAGGATCACTTTAGCCTGCGAAGACTGCAGTGTGCCATGATTGTATCACAGCACTCTTGGCTGAGCGACATAGCAAGACCTGTCTAAAAAAAAAATGGCTGGGCTCGGTGGCTCATGCCTGTAATCCCAGCATTTTGGGAGGCCAAGGCAGGTGGATCATGAGGTCAGGAGTTCAAGACCACTCTGGTCAAGATGGTGAAACCCCATCTCTACTAAAACTACAAAAATTAGTGGTGGTGGGCATGCCTGTAATCCCAGCTACCTGGGAGGCTGAGGCAGAGAATTGCTAGGTGGTGGAGGTTGCAGTGAACCAAGGTCATGCCACTGCACTCCAGCCTGGGCGACAGAGCGAGACTCAAAAAACAAACAAATAAAAAATCATTGTTAGCATTGTCCACTGAAAAGGCTTAGAAACAAATGACCAGCCCAGTACCATTTGGCACCCCTTAGGGCCCAGGCCATACTCCCTAAATATAATTTCCTCTTAAAATAAGCAATGACTTTTTGGAAGTGTGGCTGATTCCATGTTTGAGGCAAAAAATATACAGGATGAGCCTAAAATATCTTGTCATATCAGAAAGAAAGAAGTTATCAAAAGCTTCTGGGGTAATGTGAAAAGGATTCCAAAGACAATCCTGGCTAAAGATAAGACGATTTGAGCAGCAATAAGAACAATAACTGCAATGAATTAAAACACATCAAATTTTTTAGGTGTACAAGTTCATAATTATACTAAAAAAAAAACCCTAATTGGTCACTTTTGCATCCTAACTTTCCTGGATAAATTTATTCCTTGGGGTAACCCAAATGGTTGATGAAGGAAGTTTTGTTTCAGTTTTCTAAAAGTATTCCAGTCAATAAAATAAAGAGGGGATGACAGAAATATAATGTCGTAATTTTGCAACCCTTAATGAAGTCATGGGTCCCAGCAATGACCATAAATGACTGCTAAATTAATACAAACAGAAACAACCAGACATTGTATGCTCTTCTGAAGGAAGTTCACATCAGTACTTATGAAATGCTCTCTCTTTTTTTTTTTGAAATGACGGTGTGTCACTCTGTTGCTGTTGCCCAGGCTGGAGTTCAGTGGCATGATCTCGGCTGACTGCAACCTCTGCCTCCTTCATGCCTGCCACATTTCTCATCCTCCCTTACATGTAGAGATGAATATGACCACATTCTGGCCAAAGACATGTAAAGGGAAATATAATAAGAGATATCCGGAATGGCCCCTTAAGGGGCTTTTATTCAGCTGAGAGGGTACACTCTTTGTCCTTCTCTTCTTCCTACTGCCTGAAATGTGGACATGATAGCTGGAATGCCAGCAGTTATCTTGGACTTATGAAGCAACCTTGAAAGAAGGAAGTTACAAACTGGGGATAGCAGAGCAGAAGTGTGGCTACTTGGTCCCTGATGGCCGTGAAGTTGCCCTGGACTAACACCAGACATATTTTATATGGGAGGGAAATACAATTCTTATTAAATTACATGATATTTGGGTTTTAGAATAAATGCTGCTAAATCTAATTTTAGCAAATCCATCTTTTATCCTATCCCTTCAGGTCAGTCTGTCTTTGGTGGTGACAAAAGCCAGGTAGGATAATCATAGTGTTGCCAGAATAGTTAGCAACCCAAGCCTATTCCTCAAACTAGTTGAAGAATGGATTCCGTGTTCTAGCTCAGTTTCCCCTGTGCAGTGATACCGATAAGTAGGACCAGAAATGATCCACAACTGGGGCAACTTGAAGCTTCTAGAATTTGGAGGCATCTATATAAGAAAAAGAACACGAAATTACAAATACAAAATTAGCTACTCTCTCAGGTGGGATTCCTTAAAAGCAGAGCCTGAGATGGAGAGTCTTGTGCCAGTGATTTATAGGTGGGCTCTCAGGAAATTGTAAGGGAGAGAGAGATGCAGGATAGGGCAGGGGTAATTAGGCAAAGGGGTGGTTTCAGAAGAGATCTAGTCTCAGGCTAATTTCATGGGAGCTCTGGAGCGTGAATTACCATGCTGTGAATCAAAAGCTTGTATGCTTTGCCATTGATCAGTCATTGAGGTAGTCCAACCTCCCAGGCAAGGTGAATCTCCCAGGCCTGGGCAGTCAGTCGGCTGCAGAAGGGTACAGGTGTGGGTCCTTGGTAGTGAACACCTGCAGCAGCTGGGAGATGGGTGCACTGGCTTGCTGAAGGGAATCAGGGAAGGAAACTAACAGTTATTGCTACAGATAAAAAAGAAGAGAAAATAGTCATTTAAAAATCTTAAGAAGTTGGTAAATATTGTAAATATCACAAAATTCAGAAAAATATACCATTTCTCCTCTATTTTTTGACTTCATAATTTTTGATCACCTCTTCTTATGACATTGGCTTTGTAATGTAGTTTTTGAGAGATAATTTAGTCTAGCATAATTGATTAAATTAGTTTTTATTATTGATCATTTAGAAAAGTTTCTTTTAGCTTCATTATTTAGCTATAATCCATTACAAGTAATGCCATGTATATTTTTAGGATTATTGTTAAATTTGGTAAAGCCTCTATCAAATTTTTTTTTGTATATGGATTGTAAGATTTAGAGGCATTTCAAGTGTTCTTCAACAGTGATAAATCTTAAATTCTCTTTGAATTGGCCACACTCAGTTTGTCTTCAATGTCTTATCTCAATGGTATAATGAGTTTATATTATCTTTATTAATAAATTTAAATCTGCTTTCAGTGAGTGACATGTCATCAGGCTTCATCAAGATCAGACAGATTGTGTGTAGTCCTGCTAAGTTTGTACTCCATAAGCAGTAATTCTGATAAACTCTATTTTGTACAATTCCCATTAAAAGAGAAGGAAAAACTATGAAACAGTTATAATTGTGTATACCACATCATTGAGTATATCCTTGACAAGTAGAACCTCATTTTTGACTAGGAAGATGAAAACAGACTCACCCCTCCATAACAATTTTACATATCTGGTGACTAGAAGCATTTCCAATAGACTGACTTTTACCTGCGTTCATTTCAAGCCTTGTTTCCCCTTCACTGTCCATATACTTATGGTGTTGCCCATTGTAGGACAAGGTCATATGGCAATATGACTCTGGCCCTGAACATTCACCTGTGTGGATGCCAGGTAAGTTGTCATAGTGGGCAATAAGAATATTGCTGGACGCCATTTCTGCTCCTAGACAGCTAGATGAGTGTTGTAGACGTGACTGCAATACACATAATTATATCCACTAAACCCAAACCAATGTATGCCCAGTTCAACTTTCCCTAAGTTGGAACCCAAAATGCCTATGGCCACTTCAGTGTCAAACTGTGAGGTCTCATCTTCTTTGTTAGACCTGTATTCCCAAGTATCTTACTGACCAAGATACATCCTTACCAAGAACATGAGTTAAGTCATGTTCACTTAACTCTGCTAATTCAGTGTAATTTATTTCTAACATGTTAAATTCAAAGTATTTTCAAACATATACATCCTCATGATAGAATTAACTCTATTATGAAGAGTTTATTCCTCAGAATAAACTCTATCTAATAAACTTCTACAATGAAGTATAGAGTTTATTCTGAGTAAATCTGTAAGATTAATTAGGGCATGAAATGTGGAACTTTTCCAAATACAAAGGTATATATAGTGTATCTGGTTAGAAATTTAAAAAAAGATTTAAGTATCATGAGGATGTATATGTTTGAAAATACTTTGAATATTAACATGTGTATGTACCGACCTCAGGTGCGGCAGTATAGCAAAGGAATGTCAGACAATTTCTCTGATACTAGTAGTGGAGGCAAAGGGTAGAAGCCGTTACTACAGTGTTTTCATCTTCCATATGTGTTGATATTTTGTATGAGATGTTTCCTCCAGATTATTGTGTCACCTTTTAAGGTTTTACAACTCTCACAGGCTTGCTGTCCTGTTAGAATCATGGATTGATTAAGGTGATTCTCTATAAAGTGATGTAATTTCTCCTGTATACATGGGTCTCAATTCCACTGAAACTTTACTAACAATTGCTGTTTTGGAGATCAAATCAACCAAAGCTAACTAATAAGCACTTACTGAGTTTCTACGTTAATTTTTAAAATATACAGTGAAGCTAATAGAAAGTCCAAAATGGGACACAAGAAGCACTTCATAGAAAGAATTTCAGGCTGGACGCAATGGCTCATGCCTGGAATCCCAACTCTTTGGGAGTCTGAGGTGGGAGGATTCCTTGAGTCCAGAAGTTTGAGACAAGCCTAGGCAACAGAGTGAGATCCCATCTCTAAAAAGAAAGAGAGAAACAGTTTGAAACTGGAATATGAGTTCATATAGAGGGGATTTGTTTATTTCACAACCTTAGGTATTTGAAGATCAAATTCTTTTGGTTTAGCAACAACAATGGATGATCCTATCATGCAACGTAGAAGTTCAGATTTAATACGACCTTGCATGAAAGTCATTTAGCCATGGCCAGGCGTGGTTAAATGACTTTAACCTGTAACCTAGCACTTTGGGAGGCTGAGGCAGGCGAATCACCTGAGGTCAGTAGTTTGAGACCAGCCTGACCAACATGAAAAAACCCCATCTTGCCGGGTGCGGTGGCTCAAGCCTGTAATCCCAGCACTTTGGGAGGCCGAGGCGGGTGGATCACGAGGTCAAGAGATCAAGACCATCCTGGTCAACATGGTGAAACCCCGTCTCTACTAAAAATACAAAAAGTTAGCTGGGCATGGTGGTGCGTGCCTGTAATCCCAGCTACTCAGGAGGCTGAGGCAGGAGAATCGCCTGAACCCAGGAGGCGGAGGTTGCGGTGAGCCGAGATCGCGCCATTGCACTCCAGCCTGGGTAACAAGAGTGAAACTCCGTCTCAAAAAAAAAAAAAAAAAGAAAAAACCCCATCTCGACTAAAAATACAAAATTAGCCGGTATGGTGGCGTATGCCTGTAGTCCCAGCTACTTGGGAGGCTGAGGCAGGAGAATCACTTGAACCTGGGAGGTGGAGGTTGTGGTGAGCTGAGGTCGCACCATTGCACTTCAGCCTGGGCAACAAGAGCGAAACTCCATTTCAAAAAAGAAAAAAAAAGAAAATCATTTAGCTGTTAATCGAAAGCAGAAAAGATAATAAATTAGCTCTTTTGGCTTTTCTGTGTATTTATTTTGCTTAGCTCGCTTTCTTAAACTTAATGTGTAATGCCTGGGCTAAATATGCATAATTTTTTATTTTATTGCAGACTTAATTTTAAAAGTGGAAATATTTAGACCAGACCACAGCAATGTATAAATTTCACAGCTGCATACTGTTTCCTTGTGACTTCTCTTTTTTCTCTCTTTCCCTCAGGCACATTCATTGTTCATTTCTTTTGATAGTTTCTCTATTACTCTAAAGTTATGTGGTATAGGTCTCTTCTAATGGTAAATATAAACCACTGGACATTCCAGTTTAATAGCTTTGATTTTAGGCCTTTTATTCACACTTTGAAGATAATTTTGGTTCACTTCCATTCAACAGCACACACTGTTCTACAATTAACTTTGTCTTCTACTAACCCTTGGTATTTAGTGCTATGGTCAAATCTGGGCTTTCAAGATTTCTTTTCTTTTTCCTTTTTAAAAAAATTTTAAAATTTGTTGTAAAGACAAGGTCTCGCTATATTTCCCAGGCTGGTCTTTAACTCCTAAGTGCAAGCCATTCTCCCGCCTTGGCCTCCCTAAGTGTTGGGATTACAGGCATGAGACACTGCACCCAGCATCAAACTTTCAAAGCAACATGATAGATCCATATTATATGTCTTCATGGTTGCAGACCTCTGCATGGTCAAGTGTTCTAGAGAAAGAAATTGGATCACTTGGCAACAACAACACTTGGGTACAATTATAAGCTAATATTAGACAAGAAAAGAAATGAGAGCATCTATTGCTGCCACTTGGTGTGAATTAGACAGTGAAGAAAGTATTTACTTTTCTGAAATGATAATAAAAATGACATTCTAGGTTTTTAGAAATTTTCCAGGTGAGGTTTCTAAAAAACAAACAAAAAAAGATTAAAAAAAAAAAAAAAGGCGGTGGGGGAAGAGTTGGAGGGAGAAAAAAAGGGGGACGGGAAATATATGCCAGCTATTATATTTGCTTGACAAAAACTGAATTAAATATCTCTATCAGGTTTGGCCCCGTGGCTTACTTTGGGAGGCCAAACTGCTGATCACAAAGGCAGGCAGATCACTTGAGGTCAGGAAGTCGAGACTAGCCTGGCCAACATGGTGAAACCCCGTCTCTACTAAAAATACAAAAATTAGCCAGGTGTAGTGGTGCACTCCTGTAGTCCCAACTACTTGGGAGGCTGAGGTGGAAGAATTGCTTGAATCCGGGAGGCGGAAGTTGCAGTGAGCAGAGATGGCACCACTGCGCTCCAGCCTGGGTGACAGAGACCCTGTCTCAGAAAAATAAATAAACAAACAAACAAATAAATATCTCTATCATAGTTCATCTTGAACAAACTTTTCTCCTAAGCCAAATTAATTTATAACAAACAAAGCTAGTTTTAGTGAAGTTGGGTAGCTTACAATAATAGCAATAATGAAATTTTTGTTAGTTGACTTAAAAAACTTAATACTAGAGCAAATAAGACTGTAAAATGAAGCTTTTGAGGAACGTTTTAATCTTTGTTTTTTTAGACACTGAGACACACTGTGTTGCCCAGGCTGGAGTACAGTGGCACAATCATTGCTCACCAAACTCCTGGGCTCAATTGATCCTCCCTAATAGGTAGGACTACAGGAACATGCCCCGACGACTAGCTAGTTTTTACATTTTTTTGTGTGAGAAGATGGGGTCTTGCTTATGTTTCTCAGGCTGGTCTCAAAAATCCTAGCCTCAGGCAATCTTTCTGCCTAGGCTGCCCAAAGCACGGTGATTGCAGGCCTGTGCTACCACACCCAGCTAATTTTTTTGTATTCTTTGGAGAGGTAAAGTCTCACTACATTGGCCAGGCTGATCTGGGCATGAACTCCTAGGCTCAAGCCATTCTCTCACCTAGGCCTCCTAAAGTGCTGGGATTATAGGCACGAGCCACCCTTATGACCTTATTTCACTGTAATTACCACCCTAAAGTCCTACTCCCAAATACAGTCACATTAGAGGTTAGCGCTTGGGCGTGTAGTTCCAGCTACTCTGGAGGCTGAGGTGGGAGGATTGCTTGAGTCTGGGAGGTTGAGTCAGAAATGACTTGTGATCACACCCCTGCTCTCTGGCCTGGGTGGCAGAGTAAGACCCTATTTCAAATAAATAAATAAGTTCATAAAGGTGGGGCCCCAGCTGGAGTGGCTATTGGGTAGACAGGCAGGAAAGGAGAGATGAGTCAGTTGCCAAAGGGAGAGTGATTTTGGGGGAAAAGAGAAATGCTTAAGGCGTTTTAAGGAAAGTTTACAGTGCGAGGTATGACGTAATGCTTTATTTCTCTTCAAAGCATTCAATAAAATCTATAATAACCGTCGGTAGTCTGGATTTGAATTTAATGCCTCAAGTCTGGCCTAAAGATAAAAATGGAGCAAACATAGAAGCTGCAAAAGGGAGCAGCCATAACCAGATTACATTTGTTACACAAACATGAACATATGCACACACATTCAGAGACAGAGTTGGGACAACAGGCGCACACCACCACACCCAGCTAAGTTTTTGTTAACTTTTTTGTAGAGAGAA